GGTATGTTGATCAGTCGCAAATGGTAGAGTTTTAGAAAAGGGATATTAAGTCCGAATTTCAGCCAAGGAAATTCATTCTGGTTAAAATAAGAGCATTATGAAACTGTACTTTCAAACTCGAAAACTTTTAGTACACGAGAACAAAGAAATGTCTTCACAAGGACACAAATTTCAGTATGTGTGTTCTCAGGCATGCAAATGGGAATTTTAACACCAAAAGAAACTTCAAAGCGTTACATGACTTTATACAGTGTTTTTTCTTCTTCAATTTTTAATGGCATAAGTGTGAAGTGAAAGAAACCAGGAAGTCAGCTGATCTGAGGAAAAGTTGCATGCCTGCATGATTGTACATGTAGGTCAAGGCTAAACCTGTTTTGTTCAGTTTGGTTCAATAAATGATGATAATAAACTGCCTAAAACACGACTTGCTGCGTGTTATAGCCCAATCTATACCCACACAATGTAGCAGTTCTTTTTGAGGATCCTAAAAGTGAATCGCGTGAACTCCTAACCTGCTGGTACATCGAATAGATGTCACTGCTCTATTGTGGTCACTGAATGACCTGCAATTTTTTTCTTTCTTTCTCCTTTTCACTCGAAGTGGGGCCATTGTGTAATAAACAAGCCGTAAATCTTTTCTTTGGGGAAATATTCATATGCTGTTTAGAGGCTCCGTGGAGAATGGGTGTTTCCATTCATGTCAACTTTTAACTTGTTGCACGGTGGTTTTTCAAATTGTTTTGAAAGCCCTCTGGGTTCAAAAAGAAACGTCCTGTTCCACACAACAAACATCTGACATGAACACTTCTGCATTTAGACAACTTCAACGTACCGGTAGGACACCCTTGCAGAACAGTAAAACTATATTTTATAGTTTCATGGAGGAATAAGAACGACTGCAGCTTGCACACGTTTTAGCAGGACATCTTCGTTCATGTTTAGGTTGTTCTTTAAATTGAGGGTCCAAAGTGTGACATTTTTCCTGTCCCTGTTACCTTGGTACTTTGTAATTTGCCATTCATGTATCATTAAGAATGACTTCAAATGATTTGTTTGTTTGTTGGGTAGGTAAGTTCGCTATTCATAATCACTCTAGATGTCCCGCCCATGGGACGTAGTTGCTAGGTAAAAGGGCGCCCTCTTTTGTTGGCGCACGGCGCTCATTTTCCTGTTGATTTGAAATCTGTTGGATTCAGCAGGGAACTGACAAGTGACAACATTCAGAGTCGGATTCTGAGGGGTACTGGTAAACAATGCCAAGTTGGACTCTGTTGGATCCAGCAGCAAACAGAAAAATACGGCACAGTTGGATTCTGTTGGATTGAGCATGCCAGTCATTTTATATGTTCAGGTACCCAACAACTTGGCAAGTTGGATTGTGTGGGACTGTGTTGGATTGAGCGGGAAACTCACATGAGTAATCGTCGGACTCTGTACATGTAGGATTTATCAGAGTTAATTCTGGGGAACTGCATGTATTAGGGGGTTAGGGTTTCAAAGATTGCATCAGAATTATGAAATCGTACATGTCAGATGTACAAGGGACAGGAAAAAAAGTGGACCCCGAATTTATAAAATGACCCACTTACAAATATGTGCTGTACATAAGGCCAAAACAAAACAGTTCTTCTTCCGATTACATGGCATTTGAAAAAAGGGTAGGTAGGTAGGGAATTTTTTCCCGTAGCCTATTTTTGAATTTTCTTGTTTCATTTAAATTTACTTATGCAGTATTCAATTAAAAAAAGCAGAACAATTTCAAATTTCCCTTTTGAGAGAAGACGTTCACTTCTATGCGCTTCACTGAATATACAATGTATGTGATGCGATCATGCTAAATGAGTTGTTTGTCGACCCAGGTCAAATTGTTGTTTTTTACTACAGATTTGAAAAGAGCACAATCTCAGCATTACTGCTGTAAAAGGGCATGCTGGTACCGGGTACCATCTTTGGTTCCAAAATTATGGAAGTCGGAACACCAAGAGATGTGATGAGATGATGTGATGAAGTGGCCCTATTTTGGCCTGAATCTCCAAATAAAAAATCCCGACAAACGACTCATTAAGCATGATTGCATCACATATACTGAAATTAAAATTCCCAACAAAAACATTTCACAGGATTTCTGTACCAAAAATTGTCTCTTCAGGCAGCATTTGTCAATTGTCCGCAAAAAAAGAATTAATAACTTCTGAATGGTGGACGATCCTACCGGTACCTATTCACAACCAGCACATCTAACTGGCTACGACAAAAAAGCCCATGATCCTTTGCTAATATCCATCTGATCTGCGGATAATCCGCAGTTAATCCCCCTGCGCTGCGAGAGAACAGTTTTGGACTTATGTAATGTAGATAAATCAATCCCCATCAAGGTTGACGTGATTAGGGTTTTATTATCTCTTGTGTACAACAAACACACATTCGGGCTTCAGCTTTGGCTACAGATCGTCTTTTCTTGGAACTTAAATTAAAGAGACAAGTGCTTTTGAACCAAGGCTTTTAAAATACAACTCCCAGCAAAAAATAGTCGGCTTATTTTCAGCAAGTTTTGTAAAGGTTTTAGAACATGCATTAACTTAAATTTGGATGGTACCTGCACAAAATGTGGTCTACAGCAATTTTCGAGCTGTGATTTTCTAAACAATTTTTTTTAACGAATTCACCGTTGACCCAAATCGACCCACGTTTTACTGTCAGCTTGGTAAATATTTTGGAATACTTCACAGGAGCATACTGCAGGCACAGCGTACATGTATTTTAGAAAATGCTGATCAAAAGTAATTTTGATGAAGGCAATTTTTGGTTTAGAGAATACCGGTACATGTTGCGTGTATAGACCTTTATCATGCTGCCACCATTTCAGTCATGTTCCCTGTATTCAATAACCGTACTGAATGACCATGTTTTTTGTGCAAAAAGAAACCAGACTATTTTCCCTTCCAGCCTCGCTTTGGTAAGGTTAATTTGAATGGGAAAAAAATCAAGATGGCCGCAACATGATAATGGTCTATTACTGGGAAAGAATCTGAATAATTTTGTCTAAAAAGTGAATGACTGGAAAGCAAAGATTAATTCTGCCACGAAAAGGCCACAACTTTGTCAGCAGACTTAAGAGAAGTTGAGATTTGAGGAGAAAAAAAAAAGGTTGCTGAATGAATTGCCCGCCCAGAACAAACTAGAGGAGAACCAAAGAATGGAGGCATAGCTCAAGGGTATGCAAGGCATCGGTAGCTAGGAAACATGCTAAGTGTTTGTAAACATTTCCGTTGAGCAAACAATGGGAGCTAATCAGAGAGAGTGGAGTAGGTAGAGTGGTTCTCATCGAAAAGTGAGGAGATGCATGAATTATTGTTGGAATGAGTTCCGAGTCGTGTCCATGCGTGCTCATTCCTCTGTGAACTCAACAACGTGAAGCCAACTTGTTCTGAAAGGAGGAAGGTCTTAGGGGCCATCTTAAAACATTTTCAAGGGACGACAAGATCTTGAAATAGCAGAACTCGGTTGCAAATGAACTGATTTATCTACTTATCTGATGAGAAGTGTTCCAAGCAACTTGACAATTAAGAAATCCTCAGAAACACAAAATACGCTTGATTATTTCCAGAGAAGTTTTGGGGATTTCCACATACTCTTCATTAAAAGCACTACGCACAGTCGCTTAAGAACAAAAAAGTTTCTTAGTTTGTTGGAAATTTACGTGTTTCTAACCGACTTCTTTCTGTTGGGACTTAATTTTGTTTTTCTCTGAAAGTGCAACGTTGTAATTTGGTTAGAAATTTCATACGCAATTCATTTGTGAGGCCCCTGGTTCAGATCTGCATCAATGTCAACTTGTTCCCTGAACAGAGAAAGACAAAAATAAACCTAGGACGAATTGGAGTGAAGCGAACCGCAAATCCTATTGCATTACTGAACGCAATGATACACATGTCAGCCTATATGGCACAAAACAAAGTTGCTTTAGGGTTAAAAAAACCTCTGTTGGTGAAAGGTACTGCCCTCTTTGGCATGAAAAGATGGCCATTTATGGTTGAGCTATGATTGACTATGGTCTATTTTTCGGGCTGAGTTTCAGGATGAAAATAAACTGCACTAACATGAACAGTGTTAGTGGTTCATGACAAAGGCTAGTTTTTTTTAAGAGACAGGTTCAAAATCCAATAGTGTACAGACTGATTCGGCGACAGGCATTATCTGAGGTGGCACTGTGGTTGCACCGGGTCCGTGCGAGTCGCGCTCAGGTACGTGAAGTGTGCACGCACTCCGTGCTCCTTCGACCACTGGTGTTTCCAAAATGCGCGTGACTTATCTTAAAGAACGTGTGCGCCAAACGCACGAGCGTGGCATCACCTAAAACATTTTGTTAGCTAGATTACACCATATACTGTTTATTAGACCATTAGACTGATCGACTAGTGTGTCGAATTCAGTGAATCAGAGTTGCTTTTAATGTTAAGCCAAATAAAAAAATTACTTGCTCGTCCAAACTTTTTAAAAACAAGAGGATGCAGGGTTGTTTTTTTTGGTCACAACATCAACTGTTGTTTTGGGATTTTTGTCCAAGACAGCAGATGCTGTTTTTCTCAAAATTGCCATGACTTTCCTAAGATTAACTTTTTAACCTCAACATGGCTAGTCATTCATGTTGGAAGCAACTTTTAAGACACAAATATTTGTGATGGTGAAAATAACAGAAAATATGACAGATTTGGCCATTAAAAAGAAGTAAAAATAAAAAAAATATTAAAATAAATAAAATGGATGCGACAGTAAAAAAAAGCATTGCGAGTGGTGATGAGAAACTAGTATATTTTTTTAGTTGGGAAAGTCTAGCTATAATTGGGATCCTTCCAACTAAAGCTGTGTTCATCCAAACCAAAGACGCTGGATGACGGGTGGGCTCGAGTGGATTACAGGCCAAATCCTTAATACTCCATCTTCACGTTCAAGAGAAATTCGCAAAATTTTGTTCCCCCCCCAAAAAAAAACACCCCGAAAATATCTATCCTTTCTGCCTTTTCACTCACCATTGAAGTAACTCTTGCTGCGCAAGTAGCTGACACTCAGCCTCAGAATGGATAATTTGTCCAATTTGGAGATGGTGTCGACGTCAAACGGCAACAAGCTGGCCAGGCGATCCAGCTCGGCGTTGAGACGGTCGCGGTGACGCTTGCTGGGGTTGGATTTCACCTCGACGACCGTGTGCGTGGGGTTCCTACAGGTATCACGCGGGGACAAAATGGTTTAAACTTGAGCGAATGAAACCAAAATTCGATTTTTGATCAGGCAACTTAGGTCGGTAGATAAATTGGCACGACTTTGATGAAATCAAATTTGGTTAAATATTCTACGGTTCAAGCCACTAGTAAGTGCAAAGAGGTTAACGAAAAAAGTACTATGTAAACGGCGATTGTGTAGTTACGGGCCCCTTTCCGTTTAGTCCTTAAGAGTGTTTTCATCTTTCCCAAATGACTTCTGCAACCTTATGCAGTCATCACTTTATAATTCTAGTTATCACTCTATTTATTTTGTAATTTTGAACAGTAGGCCTATAAATATTTTGGTAGAAAATGCAATTTTGTTACGCACTTTTCAGCTGGCTTCATACATTCACTGTGCAACATGGAGATTTAACTGCATGAACGTTGGTCCCATTTTTATAATTCGGGTTTGGTTTAAACATTTTTGGAAAAGTTGTAAACGGATTTAGAATTGTTTTCGTTTAAACGTTTAAATGTGTAAACATCCCATCGTTAGTACTTTTACCCCAAAATTTGCCTCATAAATTCAAAACCCTGCCCTCCACCTTTTGTTTTGAAATATCACCAACTGGTTGGGCGAGTCCAACAGCCTAAAAGCTAAGCAAATTTTCGTTCCCCAATATGAACTACATAATCACCTTAATAATATAACTACAATAGTTTGGAATTTTTTTGACCCCCAAAAATGTACAATTTACACTGAATTGGAAAAGAAACCCGCAATTTGTACATTTTGTAATGAACCTTGCATCTGCATTTCGTTTAAAAAATAATAGTAAAATAGAAAAAGTAACAACAGTTGCAAATATCATGACATAAAGCGCACACATTATTGGACGCGATCGGTGATCACTCAATCGCGCAGAAATACACAAGGGAAAAAATGTTGCAACCTGACGCCACTTTTTTCTTCATATATCATCTCAATGAAGGTCAGTTATGCAAAAATGATGATAAGACATGAATCTGGGACTGAGAAACATTTCCAATTTTGTTAGGAAATACTTTTAAAAAAATCTTGACTCTCCATGGACTTTGTACACAACCGCTGAAGTGGCGTCAAGTTGCAACATTTTTTCCTACACAAGTTTTTCACAACCGGTCGATCCTGTAGGAAATCTAAAATTTTAGTTCCCTTTTTTCAAAACAATCCTCAACTCAAGAGCTGTGAATTAGAAAGGACGAGTGATCGAGTGATGGCGGCGCGATCGACCGATGGAAGCATGATCAACCGATAGCGCAGCGCGATCAACCGATCGCACAGATCAACCGAGCACGCCCAACACAGACAACATGTGCAGCAGTTCCGATGTTTTGTGCATAGTTAATCTCACCATGGAGGAAGGAATTTTGTTCCTTCCTCCATGATCTCACCAGGCCTATTGGCCCAAAATGAGAAATCCACACACCTTTTGACGGGCCTGCGACGCCTCTTTCCCGCGTACATTTTTTGTGAAATTCCATCCACGGACTCTGTATATGCCGACGACGACATCGTGATATCCCGATTGCAGAGAAATAATATTCAGAAAACTGTTCCAGTAATCACCAACTAGGACCAAGTGAAAAAGAAGAACACCATTCAATCATCCTATGCATCCTGCATTCAAATCATAGGATGCTATCTGCACGCATACACTGCACTGAGCGTTCCAAAACTGAATAAATGGTCAGTTTGTGCACAACTTCACAAACTTTCCAAAACACTCCAAAAGTTATCCACAGAAAAAGCCTGGTTTTGCAACCTTTCCCACACGTTCGAAGCCGACTAGTACTTCCACCGGGTCCACAAATCCTGCTGGATATATCCAATGGTATTTTGCAGCCGAAAAGGAGTTCCAAGGAATGGAGAAATGCGAGTTAAAAACGGAGGTTTTCACAGCCAAACCACACGGTGTGCTCGCCGCACAATGTCTGCACACCGAATGTCAATATGACTCAGATGTCTAGTCTGTGCTACCAAAACATTGGATCCACACCACGTACAAAACTAACTTCAGCGCGACCAAAGTAAATTTCCAGTCGCCGTCCAAGTCAGTTTCATGTGCTGGCAATGTCTTGAGGATGAGTTGATGACTCGACTTTCTCGCAATACACTGCTGCCGTTCATGTCTGACTTATTAATCCAGGAAGGCGTCTAGTAATGTGAAATACCGAGGGTTAAAAGTGACATGAAAATGTGGAAACAGTGTACACCCCTCCGGACGTAGCAGTCATGAATAGTAGACTAAGCGGTATCAACCGCGCGGTGGCGCTGCAACTCAATTTTATGGTGCACTAAAAAAACTATGTAAAAACCCTAGGCCATTATATACTTTTACGTTGCGTGTTTCCAGGTGATCATCTTTGGATGGAAATTTCTCCCGAAAGTCACAGGATTACCCCCAAATATTGGACAAAAAATGATGGATGATGAAATAAGCTTTAATTTGATGTGTGTCTCATACACCTTGGGGAGTTGTAAGAACTTTCCCGATCTTGGGGAAGTTGGGTATTTATCACTGGGGTCTATGGTAGTTTTTTTATTGGTCTGTAATTAGGGCGCCCTCTTTCCAGCGACAATTTAGTTGCTAAAAGCGTGCGGGGTACTAAACAGTAGAACTTTTGCAGCGCGTGGAATATCACCAATCGTTACCCGTATGTTTACAAATCAAACTACAAACTCACAACACAACAGGATTTCATTGAATTAACAAACGGACAACAAATAGGCCTTTGGTTATTTTAATTGATGTAAAGTTGACTACTTGCTTTGTATATTTCTCGCTACATCCCGTCTTCTTCAGTTTGGTCATATTAAATGTCTTCTGTGACGGTTCTCATCAAAATTCCTCAGGCTAATGTAATATATCACGTCCAACCACTGCACAAAATCTTAATTCGACAGAATACGCATTTCTCGAGTTATCGTCCAGAAAACCAGTGTGTTGCTTTGGAAGTTGACATTTTTTTTTAGTGTCATTTCTACGCTGAACATACATGTTTTGTGTTTTGGTCATCATTTTTGACGATGTTTGAAAATTCAGCAGACTTGTGTTATATATGACGGCCAATCACTAAACCAAATTTCAAATCAATGCATTAGGTATTTCCCGAGTTATCGTCCAAAAAAAGCTCAATAGAAACAGTCTTGTTGAAAACACAGCTATAAACACAAAAACAAAGTAGAAATGTCAATTTTTAAAAACAATTTTAATAGTTCACAGCAATCATGTGCGTAACATTTGTGAATGCCACAAAACATCAATCACTTATCTAATCAGTTGCTGAATACATGATATAATTATGTTAATGAATTTCTACTGAAATATATCAAGATATTATTGTACAAAAGAAATGTACCAATATGCCTCCGCTTTCGTTTCATAAGGACAAATATTTTTACGATATCCAAATATTATTCTGAACTTGGTCAACACAAAATGCATTCTTGTTTTAGAAAGTGCAGTTTTTTTTTAGTGAGACAAACTTAAAACACTACTTTAGGCCCCCCAAAAAAGTCTCCGGTTTCTGGTATGCGTGCGCGTCGCCGTAGCCATGCGCGTCGGCAAAATGAAAACGGTTTTTTTTCAATGAAAGATGATGTCTCAAAACCTCCAAACTCACTGGTTTGACTGGAATCCTGCTGCTGCACAATTTTAACGTGTTTTTAGATGGGGTTATGGTCGAGAATAAGCTTTATGTGGCCTCTCTGGACTCCCATATATTTGCACTAAGTTTAGTCGGGCACCATTTGCAGTCATCAGCCGACATTTGAAGCAAAAAAATCCGGTAAAAAAAAAAAAAAGCCGCGTCGCCGCACCACTTTTTGGGCAAGCTCCATACCAGAAACCGGAGACTTTTTTTTTTTGGCCTTATGCCCTGGATGTCATGAAATAGATATAAAGTTGTCATATTCGTTTTTAAAAATGTATTTTAAAGAAATGTATTTTTAAATTACATTTCTTAGCAAAGGACATGCATAAGTAAACCAAGATTTTTTTTGTGCAAAAACTTTCGGAACAAAAGTTTACTGGGGAAAATGGACTTGCAAAGTTGTTGTGATGGAAACTTTCATGAACATTCAGTCTTTTATATTGCTCTAGTCATAAAATATGTTCAAATTTGATAAACTGAAATCGATTACAAAATAAAATAACGGAACATATGAGTATTGAATAAATTAAATCCTAAACAGTGGGCCAATGTGCAATGTGCCGGTCATATCCAAAAAAAAAACCTCCAACAAATAAAATACCCCTCTCCGTCCAAAAACTGACTACTAACAGCTGATTTTACACTGATCCAAACTCGTTCATCCATTTCTCGTACTTGACCAAGTCGTCTTTGCCCACTGTCTTGTTAACCTTCTTGATTGCTTCGTTGAAGTCCTCCTTGGAGGTCGGCAGGTTCAGCTCCTCCTTGGGGATCATGCGGATCTCCTCGGGACGTAGGCCCTGGATGCGACGACGCATGGCCATCATGGAGGCATCCCTGCGCATGATGGGAAGGAAAGGTGGACGAACGATTATGTCTGTGTGCAATTTCCATGTCTTAAAGGGAATATACATCATTTGCTTTTGCTGTCATTTTCAGAAATGGATGGAATTGGGGGGTTGGAAATATATAGCAAATATAGTTACACTGACTTTTTTGAGGTTTTGGGTTCAAAAATGCTATAAAAACCAAGAAAAACAATCATTTTCCTGTAGTCTGGTTCCCTGACTCCATATAAGAAGAAACAGAGCAGTTTACATACATTGGGGAATTGTAAGGTCAGGGAACCAGTCTAGCTGCATAGCTGCCAACATTTCAAAATCCCAATTAGTAATCAACCCCCGCGGTCATTTTCAACTTCTCGTTTTATCGAAAGCTTTACCAACATCGAGTACAGGTACATGGTTTACATGTACACATACATGTGCATACCCTTCTTGTTGTGAATAATAATGTACTGTAGGCCAAAAGATAATCAAAAAAAAAAAAAAAAAAAAAAAATCTTTTTTTAAAATTATTTTTGTTTTAATGTCTGTATTTGTTTGTTGAAGTCAAATAAACAATAAAATCAATAACATGTGCGCATATTTTTTTGGAGATGCATGCTATCGATGTTGAGTTTCGAGTTCGTATCATGTTTTTACACACAATGATCTATGGCCACCGTATGCAATAGAAATATCCCGCCAACATACCTTGCAAACGCATGCTGATTTATCTTTTCTGTCCGTTGTGACAAACTCAAACTCTATTACCAATTATTCCAACCATACTCTTATTAAATTCCATGATTAAAATCTCGCACTGATGGGTCTCATCCCGGCAATAAGCGACTAAATGTGCTCACGATCGTCACTGAAAAGTACTCACATACAGTACACACAACCACACATCCACGAGATGCACACAAATGACACACCATTGAAAAATAGTTTTAGTCTGGTCCTCAAGTACTCCACTGCGCACACTGCCCTGATATCTATCAGGTGCTTGACTGCATTCTTATTAGACTTGTCACCAGTCCATCCATTATCGCGACATTTCGCCAGAAGTTTTTGGTCAAAAACGAAACTTTACATTTTTTTTTTTTCATTAGGTAAAAAATGGGAAATTCGTAATGTTTTAGTGGCAAATTGTATTTTCGTAATTTAACAAACAATTCGTAATAATTACGAAAAAATCGTACCAGTTGGCAGCTATGTAGCTGGCTTGTACCCGTTCATAGGTGTGTAATCGATTGCAAACAAGTGCGATGGTCAATTCGGGCCAGTATTTGAGAAAAAAAGCCAGTTTTTTCCAATGCTGGTCGGCCGACCAGCGTTGGAAATTGATACAAAAATACCACTTTTCTTGAAAATGACAGTATACCAGGTGCCATGATTTTACAGGATGCTTTACACTGTCATTCACTAACAGTCCAGCAAGGTATTTTAAAATGATTTGGTAGTTTTATTTTTTGATGTTTGCAAATGTTGTATTTTCCCTTTAACTAGTTTTTTTGCATTATTTACAAGCAACAAAAAGTAATTGAAAGTTGTACAAAGAAATTGACTGGAGTGGGGCTTGAACCTGCGACTGCCGGATTACCGTTCCGGTGCTCTACCAACTGAGCTATCCTGCCCTATGTTGTCGGTTCCCCAATTAGTCAATATCTTTGTTCAAGGGGCGCTAGTCAGAAGCCATGAACCAGTATGCCATACAGCCGGGAATTACACCCCGATACAGTCATGATACAGACCTGGGAAATAGCAAACAGGAATCACTCGGAGAGGATACGGCCTTTTTTATTAACAAAGTTTCAAATGAACAACACAGCAACAAAAAGTAGTTAAATATGTTTGGGTAGGGTTCAATTCTTGAAAATCTGATCCCAAACGTCACACAGAAATAGGGTTTCGACTCTTACTCAAGACAAATGGGGCTTATCCCTTTCGAAAAGGTGGTACACTTGGAATAATTTGAAAGACAGATTTCAATTTGCCTTTGAATATTAAGGCATTGTGGATCTAAGTGTGAAGATGGCCCATTTTTATGAAACACTGTTTAGATAATTAAGTATTTTCCAAGATAGATATGAGTTGGTCGGCACCACGCCATTGTAAGACCTGATTATTGCACGAACAAGAACCAGACTAGAATACTAGAATTGTGAAGTGAATGTGTGGTGAAGGTACATGTCAGGACACATACTGGAATTTGTATCCTTGTGTAGTCATTTCTTTGTTCTCGTGTACTAAAATTTTAGAGTTTGAAAATCTAGTTTTAAAATGCTCCTATTTTAACCAGAATTAATTTCCTGGGCTGAAATTCGGACTTAATATCCCTTTCATAAAATACTTCAATTTGCGACTGATCAACCCACCTTGGAAATTCCTAGTTTTTGAGTAAAATCCATATATATCTATTTCGTGATAACCTTGTGGAGACGTATTCACCTGTAGAAATTGCCCTGTGGAGATGCATACAATCTTTTGTTCCCTATTATACACATGTCTCCATAAGGAAGTGAATTACGAAACACTTGCGCTAATCCCCATTTGTAGCAAAAACTACCCCATGATGCAATGCAGCATATACCCTTCAATGCACTCTCTGATCTATCCATAAATGGGTCTATTTAATTACCAGATCAACAGTAAGCAGTCGAGCAACCCATTTTAGTCCTACCTGCAGACATTGGTGATGTCAGCGCCTGAGTAACCCTCCAGCATCGTGGCAATTTCCTTCATGTCGATGCCGTCTTCCAGAGGCACTTCGCGGGTGTTGATCTGTAGAAGCTGCTCCCGACCCTCAGCTGTCAATGACAAACATAAGTTTCAATCATTGGATTGACAAATAGGACTTGGGAAAAGCAACCTCGATATATTTGGACATTTACTTGTGCAGGAAATCATGAAAACTTGACAAGTGTTATGTAATAACTTCTTGCCGAGACAAACCAGCGTTGTAGTCAAGTCCATCACAAGTCGCAAGTAAATATGGATGAACAGTAACAAAGATAGACTTTTGTCACAGTCCATGTAAATAGCTTGTGACTTGTGATTGACTTGTGATTGACTTGTGATGGACTTGTGATGGACTTGCGACGGACTTGTGATGGACTTGTGATGGCTTGTAATTGGCTTGTGATTAACTTGTGAATGACTTAATAATAATAATAATACCGGAGTCTTATATAGCACACGTATCTACCAACAATTAGGTACTCAAGGCGCTGGAAATTGTGTCTACTATTAGAGACAGGTGAATGAAGTACATGAGAGATATGAAACCCATTATGTAGCACCTTTATAAGGGTTTACAAGGTGCTGCAGCGCATATTGCAGCCACTGCCGGAATACCAGGGCAAACCCCATCTCTTAGTGACAACTGGTTTTTTTAAACGTGCATTACACAACACACAGGACCTACGGCTTTACGTCCCATCCGAAGGACGGAGCAAAAATGGTAAAGTGCCTTGCTCAAGAGCACAAGCACCATGTTCCCACGGTCAGGATTCGAACCCATGTACCACGGCACACGAGTCGAACACCGCAACCAATGGACCACAGCAGCCTATATACTTGTGATGGACTTGTGATGGACTTGTGATGGACTTGTGATTGACTTGTGATTAATTTGTGATAGACTTGTGATGGACTTGTGATGGACTTATGGACTTGTGATAGACTTGTGACGGACTTGTGATAGACTTGTGCTGGACTTGTGATTGACTTGTGATGGACTTGTGATTGACTTATGATGGACTTGTGATTGACTTGTGCTGGACTTGTGATTGACTTGTGATGGACCCGACTACAAACACTGACACCAACACATGAGGCTTTCACTGTGAACAACAATGCCCACTAACATTTTATCAAGTGTGCAAAGTTGGTGAAAGTGGAAGTTCGTTAACAATTACATATTGGTGATAGACTTTTTCCAAAGGAAAACCAAGATAATCAAAACTCTTGAGCCACACTTACAGTGCTCCGTCAAAACCAACAAAATCTTTTTTGGGAATATTGAACATGCTCAACAGCATGTGGACAAATTGTCACAGAGAACAAATGAATGGGCTTCGATACTTACAGCAGGGTAGTGGGATGTAGATTCTCTTCTCCAGTCGACGTCTCAGTGCCTCATCAATGTCCCAGGGGAAGTTGGTAGCTGCAAGGACCATCACCGTCTTGGTAGCGTCGTCGCCACCTGTGGCTCCAGTGACACCTGTTTGGAACAAAACATTACAAATCAATTAACCCATTAAAAATTTTACTACATTGTATTACACTGTATTTGCTCTTAACAGGGGTGTGAGTGACCACTGATAAAAATAGCTGAAAACAGCTGAAAAAGGTGTAAAAAAGCTGAACTTTGGAAAAAAGCTGGGAAAAAAAAGCTGAAATCCAAAACAAAAAAAAGCTGAAATCAGCTTTAAAGCTGAAATTTCACACCCCTGTCTTAAAATCATAGGTGCTTGGGCAGTTTTGGGTGGTACAAGGAGTGTGTATTTCAAGGAGTGTTTATTTCAAAGATAGTTTCAAGGAGTGTTTATTTCAAAGATAGCTGGTGTTTTTTACTGACCGTCCATCTGAATCAGAAGCTCTGCCTTCACCCTCCGGCTGGACTCGTGCTCAGAGCTGGAACCCCTCTGGCTGCAAATGGAATCTATCTCGTCAATGAAGATGGTGCTGGGCGCGTAGAACCGGGCCTTGAGTTTTGGGGAGGAAGGTAAAAGTGAGGGACTCGAATAAGCTTGAGCAAAAGTTGACATTGAATTTAAATGACAAACGATAAGGAGTATAGACAAACTAACCCTTGTTTTTTTCACAGCATGAAAAACTAATTGCGTGATTACAACAGAAATGCATCCCACAACGGATGAAGAAATTTGTGCTGTTGTCCAATTTGCGCCCATCTCACATCACTGACCGACTGACTGAGTGACTCACTGTCACTTGATACTTGCCTCGGTTGTGGGATGGTGAAGAGAGCCGGGCAGTGCTATTTTATAGGATTACCCCGTAATGGGCTAGATCTGGCTCATTGTCAACAGCATTCTTAGGCCTGCTTTTAGCTTGTTTTGTCATGAATCGGAATTGAAGACTGCCTGGTTCATGATTCTTGCTTAGGAAACCAATTTTCCCGGGCCTGATTTCATGAGAGTCATCTTAATTTACGATGCAGCGCAGCACTGCAACGCGTCGTATCCCTACGATGGGTTGCAGCTGCGATGAGTCCTGCAATCCATTTTACAAAACACGTCGTAAGTGCAACGTGTCTTAGGTGTAGTTATAGCACAACTCGGTGACTGTTTCATGTATTTATTCAGCGTGCAGGAAATAGTTGTCTGGTATTCAACAAAGAGTCGTCGGATCTCCTCTCGAAATTTTTTTCAAACGTAAAACAAAATGGCGGACGTGTTTTGTGCAATTTTAATGGAAAACAAGCTCTCAGTGGACTGTTTAGATACTTTGAAAGTTCAACTGCAATATTCCAGGCTAATTCATAATTATTCAATGAATTTTCTATTTACAACTTTACACACATTGTCTCGGTATTATAATCTTGTTTATGTAATGTAATGTTTGTGGCATAAAACTTGCTAAGCAAAGGACTCTTCTTATTCTGCAATGACCACTAGACATGTCGTAACTTACGACGTGTTTTAAGCCGTTGTCAAGGAACTAACGACGCATTCAACACATCGCAAGTTTCGTGCAATGGATCATACGACGCGTCGCGAGTTACAAAGTGTTACACGTCGTAACTCGGGGCTGCGACTAGTCGCAACGCTTCGTGAAATCGGGTGCAGTCCTCCATTCCTCACACAGATACGTACCATCTCAAACAAAATTCGCACCAGTTTCTCAGACTCCCCGTGATACTTGGAAGTCAGCGTCGAGGAGCTGACATTAAAAAACGTCGTCCCACACTCAGTGGCCACTGCTTTGGCCAGCAATGTTTTGCCAGTTCCAGGTGGGCCCATCATCAGAACCCCCTAGCGTCAAAGGAAAAAAAAGATAAAAGTATATTGGATCCTACGTACCATTTCAAAGAGCAAGCGCATCAGTTTCTCGGACTCCCCGCGCCATTTGGATGTTAGGGTGCTGGAGGACACGTTGAAGAACGTGGTTCCGCACTCGGTGGCCACGGCTTTTGCCAAGAGAGTTTTGCCGGTACCGGGGGGCCCAACCATGAGTACACCCTATGAAAATCAGAAAAAACAAGCTTGCTCTTATTTTCAGGGTTTTCAAGAAGATAAATCCACGTAGATCATCAACGATACCTGTTTTTCTTTTGCACTTCACATTTTGAACATAACTTTCCCACTTTTTTGCTCCCAGTTGTTTGTTTTGTTCCAAAAAACCTATTCGCCAATTTTCAAGACGAATTTCTCCCTACTGCAAAAAGTAACGCAAATCATCGTGACCATTATTTTTGTCCCGATGACTTCACTTCTTCTGGCATCTACATACATTATAAACCGTCACCGACACCACGAACTGACACTCAGTTGCCCCTATTTTACATCACCGTATTATTTTGGTTTTTACGACCTGACACCCGGTACAGTGCGGCACTTCTAGCACGCACTCCGTACTTTTTCGTTTTCACGAACTGACGCTGATCTTAATTTCACCAGTTAAGGTTTTTAATTATTTTTTGTGTAATCCCATAAGTATACGGATGGATTAAATTTGCGTCAATACTGTAAAAGCGTTTTTCTCCAAATCGTATTGCCGCAACGTGCTTGTGTGTCAGGTTCTGAAAACGAAAATAGTTCTATTTCGTTTCAGTGTCCGATGTGCGCACGCATACCCGGGTGACAGTTCGTGAAACTGAAATTGATGTTTATGCGGTTTTCACGAACTGACATCAACTAGCGCGCGAGTGTCTGTTCATGGTGTCGGTGATGAAACAAGCCTACAACACCAAAAAAATCTTCATTACTCTTGACATTTTACAAGTTCAATCTCTTGGGCCTAGTCTGAATTGCTTGGCTATGGTTTGTGACTGCACATGTGTCTATGGGAGCGGCTGAAGCCACTTTCCATAGACATGTGCGTTATTGCTAGCCGCAGCCACACCGGCTTACCTTCCAAGGTCTGCGTATTCCCTTGAAGTAGTCTGGCATCCAGAGAGGTAGCACCACGGCCTCTTCAAGGAGTCTCTTGGCTTCAGTCAGGCCGGCGATGTCAGTCCTGTAAGCCAAGAAGTGTCAATTACGTTGACCTTTTTTACAACGCATGTTTTGCATTAGTCTTAGGATCAGACATTCACATTGGCAGAGCCATGGTTGACCGTCTGATATATCGTAGCGTGTCAATTTTATGCGACCCCGCGTGCCAGCCTATCTTTTGATCAGAAATGTGGACTAAGCTTTTGATTGGTCAATTTGGCTGCCTTACTTGCTCGCAGTTGGTAAGCATGCAAATAGTGCTTGTTCAACCAATAAGATTTTCAAATGAAACAGGTGCCTCAAATTAAGAATGCGTCTGACACGTGCGTGAGCATGGTGTCAATCTCAGTAAAAGACGACTGCCAAATCAGTCAATAGTTACTCACCAGTGGACATTTGGGTTTTTCTGTACGATGTCTCGCTCCAGATTTTCCACCAGGTCTTTGTCATAACCAGAAGGGTCAAACTTCTTCTCGTCACCTTCCTCAGGCGAACCCTTTGCATCCTGTGATAAAAGTGAACGATAATGCAGTAAGTACGGTATGTGATCAACCAGAATGAGAAAAGATGAGTGTTTATTTTGGGTTTCTTGCAATAAAACGAGCCATCAATATACCTTGGGAACTATGTAAAACCTCCCAAAACGACTTCAACAAAATCAATTTTTCTCTAACAAATTTGAAATCCGTTTATTCCATTTTGACCAAAAAAACCCACCTACTCTCCTTTTACTATATACATCTGCAAAACTTTCATTCATTCAAAAGCCCTCATTTTATGTTGCTTTTACACCTCTTACTTTCCAAAAGACGGTCTACATTATTGTTGAGCTGTAAATAGTTAAGCGTTTCTGAAGTAATCATTCAGTGACTTCATTTTCATCACTTGTTCTTGTTTGATACATCTCACTTGATATTATCAAAAGTGAATTACCTTTTATTACTATAACCCTAACCCCCCTGAATCCTTTAAAATCCTCTTTGCCAAAGTGGAGGAATTTGGAGGATTGAGGTTACATGGCAAAAGTGCGTTACTGATTTCGTAGGATGCACTTTGTGACGGTCTTGGGCCGGACCTTGTGTTGTTTTTGCTCAGCTAGATGTATAAATATAGGCCTGAATTATGCTTGAAATCCTCCGTACTGCTCCAGGATGTCACTTGCTAAGCCTCAACATATCGACAGTCACTGCCGCAGGATTTTGCAGGATTCAGGCAGTGGTCACCCCTCCACGGACCATATTCAAGAAATAATGGAGGAATTTGCAGGATTGAGGCTATATGCTATTTTTCGATGAGGCCAATAGGAGGATTTTGCAGGATTGAGGCTACATCCTAACAAAAAGGCCAAGGGAGTTAGGGATAAAAATAGTCACTAAAAACATCTGTTTTGGGGGACAAAACTTGAAAAAAAATAGGGCAGAGAGAGCAACTTTGGGAGGAACAATCTTATCACCAACCCGATCTTTCCTGTTGACTTTCTTGTCGTCCCTGCCTCCTCCACCTCTGCCTCGCCCATCGTTCCTCTTGTCGCCATAGGACGGGCCACGCCCGCCTGAAGGGCGTGGCTGGTCTCGGGCCGGTCCACCTCTGGATGGCTTGCTTGGCTCAGAGCGACGAGGAGGTTCCTTACGGGCTCCTCGTTGGTACTGGGGAGACGGTCTAAGAAAAACAAGAAACACAAAAGAATATATCAAAGCAAAGTGACCAAAAAATATATTTTGACAACTAATCAGTCATTTTCAAGTACCGTGAAGAATGTAGCATTTCTGACTGCTTAACCAGTTCGCACCGGAGGCCGTGATAACACCCACTGGCTGTTTTTGTACCCAGGCACGGCTGACGGATTAAGACATCAAGATTGCCTCGACTCACCTCAGGGTGAATCCCTCGTGCCTTTTGCACACACACACAACAGTCCTCCTGATTTGAATATCACACGTGTGTGGAAAAACGCACACCTGGATTTTTCTAGGCGTGTGATTTTTCTAGGTGTGTGATTTTTCTAGGCGTGTGATTTTTCTAGGTGTGTGATTTTTCTAGGCGTGTGATTTTTCTAGGCGTGTGATTTTTCTAGGCGTGTGATTTTTCTAGGCGTGTGATTTTTCTAGGCGTGTGATTTTTCTAGGCGTGTGATTTTTCTAGGTGTATGATTCTGTGGTCCAAGCTGGGACTAAACAATCTGGTATATTTTTTCATAATATTCATCTTGGTTTACAATAAAGCCGTTTTCTGTTCACCGACATACTTTATTTTTCACAAATTATGAAGTGTAATTAGGCCGTAAATGTATGCTGAGTTGTGCAGTACTGAGGGATTCAGGCGTGCGATTATTGGCACTTCTCAGGAAGCATTCAGGCGTGTGATGGCGTGGGGGTGTGAGCACACGCCTCAAAACAGAAGGACTGACACAAAGTCAGTGTTGTCTGTGGAGGCGGACGATGTGCTGACCGTTGTGCGGACCATGTGCTGACCGTTGTGTGGGCCATTGCATATGGCCTATTGTTGTACAATTTATGCTCCAGAGCACACCTCAGAGTATTGAAACGTATGAGGTTTCGGCAAGATATATCGTACAACTACTGTTAAAATCACTCTTGCGAATCAGTATTTGTGGCGTTTGGCTGTATATCAGAAATTGGCTGGGAAATTTTGCCTTTCGAAAATTTTGAAATTTTCGGCAAAAATAAACCTGGCGCGAAGTGGTTATTAAAGATGCAGTCACTTCCATGTCTATACGAGTATTTCACGTAAACGGAGTGTTTTCTTCAAACACTTTCAACTGTAGGATACGTTTAAAAAGACATAAAGCAGATTTCTTTTTTTTCCAAAAAAAAAAAGGGAAAATGTCTAACTGAATTTTTTGGTTTCGTCCAGTAAATGGGATACTTTCACTGAAGGCTTCTGGAAGGTGAAGAATATTTTGAAGAAACATATGAGCCAGATTTTTTTTTTTGATTTTTTTTACACAATTGTATGGACACATTAATTCATAAGATGTTTATTCAATCAAAACAGAATTACAAATCTAAGAGTCTGTAGGTTGTTTGGATGGAATTTCCATCCACTATTCACCTGTGTTCTACTGGTGTTGGTGGGGGCCACACATCAGGGTCTCTAGGGGCTTCCTGTGGCTTGGAGTAGGGTGCTGGCTGCCTGTAGGCAGGGGCACTGCTTGGAGGCTCAATTTGGTCTGTCTTAAAGTTATTGAGGGTCTTACTGATGTCCTTGACGTGCTCGTACTCTTGTGCGAGATCCTGCTTGACCTAATAGATAAGGGAGAATACTGAATGTTTCATTATTCCGTAAAACGGAGGATTTTGCAGGATTGAGTCCATATGGCAAAAGTGTGTGGCTGATTTCAGAGGATGCAATGTGTCAAAGTCTTAGGCCGGACCTTGTGTTTATGCTCAGCCATGCATAAATTTAGGCCTAGATTAAACTTGAAATCCTTCGCACTTCTCCAGGATGTCACTGGCTCTGCCTCAGCATATTGACAGTGACTGCCGGAGGATTTTGCAGGATTGAGGCAGTGGTAACCCCTCCAAGGTCCGAACATTCAAGAAATAACGGAGGATTTTGAGGGATTGAGGCTGTATGCTGTTTTCACATGGAGGCAGTTGGAGGATTTTGCAGGATGAGGCAGTGGTCACCCCTCCAAGGACCAAACATTCAAGAAATAACGGAGGATTTTGGAGGATTGAGGCTGCATGCCATTTTTACATGGAGGCAGTTGGAGGATTTTGCAGGATTGAGGTTACATCTTAGCAAAAATGCCTAGGGAGTTAGGGTTAATAATTGATGTACACACAATAGTTACAGATATCTTACCGAGACCTAGAGTTGTAATAAATCACTCATCATTCGAGTCACAAGTTAATTCACAAGTCAGGTGGTGATTAAAAACGACAGAGGAATGTCTTTTTTGTCACATTTTCATTTTACTAGTTTTTGACTTGACTTGAGACTGGATGTTTTGTGACTGAGTTGTGATTACTGTTGGGCGAGTAACTTGATCACTCGCGAGTAGTTTTTGCTACTCGTTTTTCTACTCATTGTTTTTCATCTACTTGAGTACTCGTCCTGGCACGAGTAGAAGCAGGTACTCACAAGTAGCAATATAGAGTTTAGGATTCACGGCTTAATACGTTATCTGCAAACAGGGAATCACTCCCTCCATCTCTCTCTCCTTAGGATTCCATTCATCCCCCCCCAAAAAAAAATTCAAGTAAATGACCCAAAATTTCGCACACTAAGGATATCTCAGTGCTGAAGAATGTGGTGTGACTTGCAAGCTATTTGCTTGTAAGTTACTTCACGTCATACTAAAGTATATGCCATTTTTCTGCTTTTAAGGAAATTCGGTTAACTACTCGCGAGTACTCGACTACTCGTGAGTAGAAATATCCACTACTCGCCCTGGCCTAGTTGTGATGACTCGGTTATGCATGTAACTCTCCTGAAAACAATATTTCCAGTGGGGTACATCTGTGTGAAAGCAAGGAACTCGATAATCAACAGATTACATGTACATGTATTAAGAAAATACAATATCAAGAACTAACGTTAGAGCTAAGGGAAGCCTGTGCATCACATTGTAAACTTTAAAACCAATCTACATTGAAGACATTTTCCAACCAGTTTTTCATATAAGGCAAAATAAAAAAAAAAACATGTTTAGCGTCCTGCCTCTTTGACAAAAAGGAAGGAGGAGGCCCTTTTTTTTTTTTTTTTTTCTTTTCAAAATGGCCGCCCAACACATTTTTCAAGACAACGCGGCCGGGCTATTTTTCAAGATGGTTACCAGCTTTTTTCAAAATGGCCGCCACTTGGATTCAGGAAATGACATATTGGCTTCTTATGGGCAAGATGCAACAGAAAATGAGACCAAAATGATGTAACTATGCAGAACCGAACATCTCTTCTGTGTTAAAATTATCAATTTTTGTCTTTAAAAAAAAAAAAAAAAAAAAAAAAAAAAAAAAAGGAGGCGGCCTCTAAAAAGGAAGCGGGCGGGGACGCTAAACATGTTTTTTTTTTTACTTCGCCTAATACCTTCTGCCACTGGTGTTTGCGCTCTGGTTCCCTAATGTTGATCAGCAGTTTCTGGATCTGCTGGAGCACGCCCTCATAGTAAACCAACGAGGTTTCGTAGTTGCCGAGCAGGGCGTACTCTCGCCCAATCTTGGTGTTCTCGCATATCTCCGAGACACTCATCTTAACTGAAGATTTCGAAACTGAGAAAAAAACATAGCAAAATCATTATTGAATCAACACTGACTGCAATACTGTAAACGATGAAGCAGAATTGTGTTTTGGGTGAACTGCTTGTTAAAAAACCAATAAAATACCATTACTCATGGCATTGCGAATTTCCCAATTGCCATGATATGTAGCTGGAGTTACCCCTAAAACTATGGTGCTCCACGTACTGATTTTCAAACATGTCAAAACGAATTGGATTTTGCCCTTTTGAAAATTTTGGAAGACATTTTTCTTTTTAATTTTCTTAAAAACCAACAAGGAAAGAATGCTGGTAAAAAATGTTGCAACATGACGCCACTTGTTTCTTTATATATCATCTCAATGAGGGTCAGTCATTGCAAAAATGACGATAAGACATGAATCCTGGACAGAGAAACATTTCCAATTTTGTTAGAAAAATACTTTAAAAATGTTCTTGACTCTCATAGACTTTGTACACAACCGCTGAAGTGGCATCAGGTTGCAACATTTTTTCCGAATGCTGCACCGTTTTTGTTTTTTTTTCATCACATTCATGACATTATTATCTCAATACTTATGAAGGTCAGTCATTGCAAAAATGTTTATGAATTTGGGATTGGGAATGAGAAACAGTTGGTTCCAATTTTGTTAGAAAATAGGCCTAGGCCTAGGCATAGACTTTGTACACAACCACAGAAGTGGCGTCAGGATACTACATTCTTTCCAAATTGGAAATGAGTCAATGAGTCAACGTGCTCGACGTGCCAAAACGCTAACCCCCGACCCGCCAGGCAGCCCGTGCCGCGCCCGCCCAGCCAACTGACATCGATGCGCTGCGCAGCGCGCGACTGCCGTACAACGAAAACCGCGGCAGTCGACCTCGAAAAAGATTTATTTTACGTATGAATTTCGTTAAAACTACCATATAACTTGGGGTAGATTGATTCTCACACTATATTCCCGCCCAATCATTTTAATAATATCTAAATCAACTTTCAAAATCTGTCAAAATAAATCAGTATTTACCTTGTTTTTTGACAAACTTACGTTCACTACGTTGACGAGTCGATCAGTATTTCAAATAAACTGAGCATGCGCAAATTAAAGTTTGTGTACGTACGGTGGCTCCGAAGGAACATTTCCATTTGAAAATCGATTCGGACAAAAGATTAAAGTTTCCAACTTTGGGCGCCTGTGCATATGAGAACCACATTGATATCATCTTAATATTCTAGATTTCTTTTTGAATTAAAGGACGCACATTTAATCCATTGCACTACCTAACTTCACTCACATTTGCTAAAGACCATAGGAATCCCTTTAAAGACAATAAAAACAGGCAGATGGGAGTCCCCTTAAAGACTGTGCACATGGACAGGTACCCAGTGTAATACTTCATTCGTAATACGGTATTCCCGTGTTATTATAGCTTTGCAATGTAAAGGAGCCAGTCTGTACTGCAATGTGTGATCGAATGTGAAGTGTGGGCCAGAAAAGTGATAAAATAGATTTGTTTTTCTCCATTAAATCTTCCCAACTAAGCAATAAACGTCCATGACTGACTACCAGGAAGAACAGACAAATGAAATCGCTGCTTTGGAATCGATTTATCCGGAGGAATTCTCAGGTAGCGCACCGCGAGTTTAATATGAAGTTTTTCCCCATGCAACTCACTCAGTCATGTCAGTCATGCAAAGTGTGCAGAATGACAATTTAATTGTTGGCGATTGTGAAGTGTTGCCTTGGGACCCTCTTTTATTCATTTTAGTTCTTAGAGTGTGTACTCAGTTCAAAATGACTTTAGCAACCTTCTTTTTAATGTCCCTATGTTTTATTTTTTATTTTGAACAGTATTTTCCGGTAGAAATTGAAAGTTTCTAATCTTAGCTGAACCATGGAGCTATAAATTATAATTAATTAAAAAAGGATGCTGATTTTTGTAGGCCTATTGGATGCTTTGCAAAATCCACGCAGTGTATTAACCATGGGACTGTTAATTAATGTATCTTAAATTTTATTCCTTTTTGTTTTTAGTGCTGTCGGATGATCCACATAGCTTCCGCATCACTGTGCGTTCAGAGGATACCGGAAATGAGGAAGATGGTAGGTCATAACTACACCCCCTTCTTCATCATAAGCCCCACCCCTTCTCTGTCAAACATCTTAACTTCAATGTTTTTTTTGCAAGTGTGAACGCACTTTTCTGCAGTTACCTTATTATACTTGGTTTCATTTTTTTAATTGACCATCATCAGAGATCTACAGTGCAACCCTCGAGTTTACCTACACACCAACCTACCCAGATGAGGCCCCTCTATACGAGGTGACAGAAGACGGGAATGTGGAGGAGGAAGATCGAGATAAAATCACAGAAATACTGCAACAACAGGTATGGATTCCTGCATTGCTAGACCCTCATATATACTCCTTCATACAGGGTATATTTATAGGAAGTGTATTGCATGGACCCTCCATATCTGCCATACAGAGTCGTGGTTGAGTCCATCACAAGTCCTCACAAGTCCATAACATGTTCATCACAAGTCCATCACAAGTCCATCACAAGTCCTAACAAGTCCATCACAAGTCCATTACAAGTCCTCACAAGTTCATCACAATACAAGTTCATAACAAGTCCTTACAAGTCCATACAAGTCCATTAAAAGTCCTCACAAGTCCATTACAAGTCCACTACAAGTCCATCACAAGTCCTCACAAGTCCTCACAAGTCCATCACAAGTCCTCACAAGTCAATTACAAGTCAATCACATGTCCTCACAAGTCCTCACAAGTCAATTACAAGTCCTCACAAGTCAATTACAAGTCAATCACATGTCCTTACAAGTCCATCACAAGTCCTCACAAGTCCATTATAAGTCCATCACAGGTCCTCACAAGTCTTTCACGAGTCCTCACAAGTCTTTCACAAGTCCTCACAAAGGTATTCTGTTGTTACAGTTTAGCTCCCGTTACTTGTGACAGAACTTGTGAATTGACTTGTGATTTGCTTGTGACCAGACTTGTGAGGGACACGACTACAAACACTGCTGCATAAGGCTGGGCATAAGAGTAGCAATCCTGTGATAAGTGAATGAGTTCCAAGTCAGGATATCAGCATGCTCAGCAGACTTTGTGTCACAAAAATCTCCCTGAATTTACAAAGATGAATGAAAATCATAAAACAGATTCTATTGTTTATATTAGATTTCTCATACTCTATCAGCCTTTTTTCAGAAACGGTGGACACAATATTTAGAGTGGCTACACCCTTTGACATTTCCCCTAAGATAAACCCACTCTAAATAGCAGCCTCCTATTGTGTGCACCATGTCTCAACAAAGCCTAATGGTCCTTTGTACAATGAGAAGTTTGAATTTTTTTCATTCTTAAGATTGAGGAGAATCTGGGCATGGCAATGGTGTTCACACTCGTCTCAGCTACGCAGGAGTTCCTCAACAACAAAGTGGATGAAGACCAAAGAGTTCAGATGGAGGAGAAGAGACAACAAGAGGAAGAAGAAGACAGAGTAAAAGAGGAAGAGGTATAAAGAAAAGAGACGGGAAAGTTGGAACTCTGGGGGAAAAAATCTAATAATAAACCAGTGAAAATTTTAATATTTTGTCCTTCACTGCTGTATATTTTTTGTCAGCATTGTATACTCAGTGCATTCAAAGTGCTTGCAAGAAAAAAATATTCACAACCTCACTCAACTGGGATTCGAACCCATGACATTTAGCTCACGAGAGCACACGCCTTGACTACTCAACCAGACAACCACCGAGCTTGCCGGGGTCCGCTGGCAGGTTCGAATCTGCTACAGCAGTAGGTATCCCCAATCAAAATTGCATCGGGCAAGATAATCAACCTGTGCTGAAGTTAGTGGGACAAATTTTAGGGAAAAAAAGGGCAAAAAACAAAACTTGGCATACTAAGTTGCTTATTGTTGTATTGTGGTGGGGTGTAGGTAGTTACGTTTTCATCTTCTGCAGAAATCAGTAAAAGCAACCATCATGTGCCAATTTTAACAGAATATATCAGCTGCAGGGAGGTGTCCTATTCTCGTCACCCCTGAAGTATTTCTCTTTTGTTTACCAAACCGAACAATCATTGTCAAGTATTTCAACTTTTCACCCGCAATGGTTTCTACATCACAATGACAATTTAAGCTAACCCCATGACAATCCTTTTCACAATTCTTGGTCTGTAGGCGCAGAAATTAAAAGGGACACTTGTGACGATTGAGTCATTCCTGGCCTGGAAGGACAAGTTTGACCAGGAGAGGTTGATGGCGAAAAAGAAGAAAACTACTGGAGAACAAACAAAGAAACTCTCGGGTAATGCAGCCTCTTCTTGAAACGGAACATGGCCATAAGCACCAGCATCTTGAAAATGGAACATTCCAGATTTGGCCATAAGCCCCGCCCTCCTGAAATGGACCATTCCAGATTTAGCCATAAGCCCCCCCTTCCTGAAATGGACCATTCCAGATTTGGCAATAAGCCCCACCTTACTGAAATGGACCATTCCAGATTTGGCCATAAGCCCACACTCCTGAAATAGACCGTCCCGGATTTGGCCATAAGCCCCGCCCTCCTGAAATGGACCATTCCAGATTTGGCCATAAGCCCCGCCCTCCTGATATGGACCATTCCAGATTTGGCCACAAGCCCACCCTTCTGAAATAGACCGTTCCAGATTTGGGCAGTAAGCCATGCCCTCCTGAAATGGACCATTCCAGATTTGGCAATAAGCCCACCCTTCTGAAATAGACCGTTCCAGATGTGGCAATAAGCCCCACCCTCCTGAAATGGACCATTCCAGATTTGGCCATAAGCCCCGCCCTTCTGAAATGGACCATTCCAGATTTGGAAAATCTCCTGTGGTCACCTGACCAAAGGTTGTGATCTAATTGGTCGAAGCGCAAGTTTGATTGACAAGCTGGAAGGTTCCATTCTTCTTGGAAACCAGTTATACTAGGACCTGATCAAAACAATGATATTGAGAGATCTATCTTGATGTTGATTTTCCATTGCAGGAAAGGAGCTGTTTGAGAAGGATCATAATTTGTACGAGTCTGACATGGCCCTGCTTGATGAAAGTAAGTCATTCCATATCAAATCTGTCTTATAAGAAATATTCCGCATTACTCAAATATAGGTTTGCAAGTTTCCAATTACAAGGTTGATAGCCACCTGGGGGAGGGATTCAGAGAAAGGTGTTGGGGACAGAAGAGTAAGGAAGAGATTTGAATTTTTTTCAGGATTACTTGGTGAACCCAGGGAAAATACTCTGCACTTCTTGTTTGCCTGTGTGAGAAAATGTAGAAAACAATGTGTAAGAAGTGAAGAGGCAAATAATGCTAGAACCTTGGTTCCTGTGATTGCAGATCAAGAAGTTACTTTAACAATTCCTTGACAAAGTTCAGCTAAAACTTTGTATCTCAATGAAGCTCATATCATTCACAAAGAAGACCAACTGATGTATGTATCAAAACAAAGTCTCAATGGATTCTAATACATTGTAATGTCTACACATTTTCGGGAAGAAACTTCAGTTTAAATGTCGACTGCTAAGTCTCTGTTGCTCTTTTTTTCCCCCCTCTCAGATGACAGAGTGGAGGTTGACGAATCGCTCTTCCAAGAGATGGATGACTTGGATCTTGAACTTGAAGATGAGGACTAGATGGACACTGGGGCAAAGATATGGAACATAGGCCTAATCCTACACAATTAATTTAAAGCAATCATCTACTCACATAATTGTTAATGGGAAACCACAGATTTCTCTACTCAAAGCAGCAGCATCGTGGTGTAATTTTCCCCACATGGGGGGGGGGGGGGGGGGAGGGAATGACAAACCACAGTGGTTTACATTTTAATCACTGCACAGCCCGGAAGTCACCAGTATGTTTTTCTATCAAAAGAACCTGGATTTTAAGTAACAGACTGGATAGTACATGAATTGTAATCGAGTCAGTCACAAGTCAGGCTACAAGCAACAGGGAATGTGAACAGCTTTGTCGTTTCATCTTAGAATTGATAACTTGTGATTTACCGGTGATTGTTTTGAGTACAACTGTGGGTAGTGTGGCTTAACCCTAACTCCCTAGTGTCTTTTACTAAGTACTGGACCAAGTCCGCCAAAATCCATCACTGACCCTGCTTCACATAATGCTTTAGGACAAAATCCGCTGAAATCCACCACAAGACCACAAGTAAAGGTGGATTTTGATGGACTTGGTAGTCATGGCTTGCCTACCAAAATGGGGAATGGATTTTGATGGATTGGGGAAGGTTGTCTAGATAGAGTTAAAGCATATAAGCGTGAACCTTTCAGAAAGTGATATACTTCCAGTACAGTTACAAATAAAACTTTTATGACATAAACGAAATGAAAGGTTGACTTAGTTAGCGTTTGGTCATTTTTGTGCCAACTTGTTTGATGTGTGTTGTGTAGTGTCGAAGAATGTTCATAGTTGCACCGAGGTAATTGTACAGTTGACTGTGGGATCAACTGGCTGGTTTTTGAAATATGCTTGATGATCCTGAATGAATTTCCCTCTCAGTACCCATGTAAATACGTTGATAAATAGTCCCTCAAAACAAGTTCCGAGATGGTAAATTATAAAATGTTGATTAAAGCTACAGTCCATCAATTGCAGCTATCCAAAAAGTAACTGACGTAATTAATGTTGAAAAAAACAATGGTTGAAAGAGTAAAGGCACTAAACTCCCTGTGAAATTATTCTTTCTGGCAAGCTGTCATTTTGAAGAAATCAACGAAAGAAGGCCTTTCCAACTCCAACGGTGCGTCTTGAGACGCACCGTTGGAAATTTCCATTAGTAGTTCGTTTTTTAAGTTCGGCAAATCGCGCGTAAGCGTTGGCATGACGCGCGGTTGCTATAATTCGTCGGATCGGTACGCGACATCACGTAGCTGCAATCGGCTCAGTGAGAACGTGTCTCAGACTCTGAATTCAGGCCCAATTCACAACATGATTCAGCAACTTTTGATTTGAAATCGAGATCCTTGAATGCCGTTTTTCTCGGAATATTTCTGGTAATGAAACCAAGGATTCCTCAAAAGCACCCTAGGCACTGTAGCTCGCAAGCCTGAAGAAACCTGTGGAGAGAAGACAATGAGAAGAAATTACAGTTTTAGAAGTGGGAGGAAAATCCCAGAATATTCTAGCGAAAACCCATGGAATCAGGCATGGAATCAGGCAGGGACTGAAAACCCAATCCACATATTGGCCCGGGGCGGGATTCGAACCTGGATCACAGCAATGGAGGGCGAGGAAAGAACCGCTAAGCAAACCCGACTCCCCAATGACAGAAACTTTGCTCAACGTGAAGATAGGAATGGTATCAAATACCCTGTGAAGTTATTCCAACTCGAACGGTTTAGTTTGAAAGAAAACTAACACTGTAGGTGGTTTCAGTGCGTTAAGCAACGGAATCCAGTTACGAGACCGAAGATACTGTGCATACATTTTCGCTGTTTCCTTAAAATGTGAAGTATCCACTGAGCTGAAACTTCAACAAGTTAGTCGTTATGTACCCTACTTAAGATTTTGAGCAATTTTGTTGCTTCAAACGTAAACAAAATGCTCAAAAAGCAAATGATATAACATACGTCCTCTTAGGTTAGCGCTCTCGCAAAGAAAGACATTTCAGAAACCAAATAGTGACTGTTATTTCATTATGAGGTTTTATTGATAAAAATGTGTATAATCCATGAATACATTTGTAACAATTTCAAATCCACGATCTTTTTGTTAAAATAAGTACTACTATGAATTGAAATCACACACAAGGCAATAATACTTTATCAATCTATACATGAAACTGTGACAGTGTGTTTTAAGCTAACTGAATCTATTACAACCAGTATTATTGCAATGAGCTCAAGTCAGTCCGAAGCCTTTGCTGTTCTCGATGGCAACCAGTAGTTTCTGACTGAGTATTTCCAGTGTGTTGTAGGCCGGCAGTAGTAAGCGATTGAAGCAGGTCATGGCTGTGGGCAGACGGTCCGATTCGGGGCCGTTACGCTGGATGACGATAGGAAGGCTGGACAGACCCTTCAAGGGAACCTGTGGGGGGAGGGAGGGGGAGATCGTTTGAGGGGTGGGGAGAGTGGGTTGCGTTTGAGGAAACAAATGAAAAAATAAAACTTGAAACTCGATTTCTATGAAATTTTTGAAATTTAACCACTGTCACTGAAGGTGCATAGTATACACATATAGACTGGCAATGAGGTCACTAGTGCATGTCTATACCCCCAATGGGACTGTGAGTGACCAGAAGAGGGTCATACTTCCTGAGGCCGAGGGAATAATGGAGGGATATAGGACCCTCTACTGGTCACTCTCAGACCCGAGGGCAACATAGACGTGCACTAGTGACCGAATTTTGCCAGTCCATATGTGTTTCATAACTCGCCTCTGTCCAAAATGAAAAATAAGAAAATAAACCTTTCAGGGTTTTATTATTGAACTGTTTTAATGTGACAGTTAACTCATCAGCAATTCAACTGTAAGCAATTCAACAATTACAGGAACGCTTTCAGTTTCCCTATATTAAATTTTTGAGTTTGAATTTTTTCAGAGGGCGCTGTTATCAGTCAAAATTTTTTGAGTATAGTGCCCGATCAGGCACTACACTCTGGAAATTACGCACGCGCGATGTCTCGACGCGCATCTAGTTCAAGCTGACATAAGTTTCATGCACTAGCCTATATTAGTGAATCACAAGTGACCGCGTTTCAGCCAACCAGGATAAAGAACAAGCAAGAGGTGTGTTATAAAAATGTACTATTGCCCTCACTGCCAGTCAATATATTGCTAAGTTGGTGTATAAACATCAATAATCGATCCCATGTAGTTTGGTGTAATATGAACGTATATTCTGCTAGGAGCTAGACCCACCTTGTCACTTCCTGTTATGAAGTGTAGCAGTTTCCTCTTCTGTTCTTCTCTTAAGGAATGCACAATTGTCCAAAATGCTTTGATGGTAACGTGTTGTCTGTGAAGGAAAGAGAACAATTTTTTAGAATGGAGTTTTGATGTCTGCCAATTTACCCAACAACTAACTGTCTAACGTATTATCATGATGACACTATGACTTTTTATGATGACACACTGACTTTTTATGATGACACACTGACTTTTTATGACTTATGATGTACTCATAAGTGACTTGGGATTGACTTGTGGAGACTTGCAACAACATGTGGTTGATTTGTGATGACTTGCCTTGTGATGACTTGTGATTGACTTTTGATGGTTTGTGACTGACTTGTGATCGACATGTGGTGACATGTGATGGCTTGTGATGACTTGTGATGATGTGTGATCACCGTGTGATTGACTTGTGGTTAACTTGTGATGGCTTGTGATGACTTATGATGGCTTGTGATGATGTGTGATTACTTGTGATTGACCTTTGATCAATCTTTTATTAACGTTTAATTGACCTTCGATTGACTTGTGACGACTTGTGATTGACTTGTGATGACTTATGATGACTTGTGATGACATGTGAAATCTTGTGATTGAACTGTGATTGACTTATGATGACTTGTGATGGCTTATAACACAAATTACAAATCTAAGACAAACACAACGCAATCCAAACCGTGAGTATCCGTCCTCGTAAGTCGCCGAGGCCTCCAGAGCCATGAAGTCTAGTTCCGGACTCCCACACACCAGCATCTCCGTTTCGGCGGCTTGAAACAGACGCAACGCTGAGCCGCCACAGACCGTGTGGAAGCCGTGGGCGAAGGCTTCAAACTGTGTGGCTACACTGTCCACTAGAATATGCTGAATGTACAACCTTACATACTCCTCACGATTCTAGGGGAAAAAATACACATTAAAAAATAATTGTACAACTCTTAGCTTATTTCAAAACTCTTACTCTAATTTTAGAAAAGTTTTATTCTTTATTATTACAAAGCAGGGTAGTCATTGGTGAAATGGCATAGAATTTTGGTCTTAAATAACATGTTTTGGATTGGTTTTTAATAGTCACAGTGTCACATATTAATTTTAAGGAGCAAGACAAATCATTATTTCGCTCACATTTGACAGCCGAACATTTACTAGCCGCGACACTACCAAATGTTACTGTAACCGTGCTATGCTCGGATTAAAGAGTTCTGTCCAAGTTTCAACCCCCAAAAAGAGAGTTCATTTTGAAATTGCTATTTTTCTAGCAATAGAAAAGATAATCACTTTAAAACAAGACATAGACCGGAAAACCAAAATCGACCCAAAGGTAGACTAGTTTCCAAACCCCCTGTTGAAAATTGATAATGTGGGGGCAGATACCAGTCTCCTCGGAGGGCTGATCTGTTTGTATGCAAAACCAATCTAAAATATAAGTCTATTTTTTTTTGTAGATGTCCAGAATAGAATGAAGCAATTTCATTTTTAAACATAAAACAATCTTAGGTCAAAATTCGTGCAGTGAAAAAAAAAGAAGAATTTGTTGAAGAACTGGTTATTTAAGCCCCGTGCCAACCTACCTCATTGGTGACTGCTATCTGTGAACCGTTTGGCAATAAATCCACCGTGACCAACTCCCCCATCATCGTGTAAGAAATCTGGCAAAAAAGAAAAAAAAAGATCACTCATTACAGGAGATAGATCATTATTATTATTATTATACTCTTTTCTGGTGATGAAACCAAGGATCCCTCAAAAGTGCCCGAGACACTGTAGCTCACAAGCCTGAAGAAACCTGTAGAGAGGAGACAATGAGAAGAAATTACAGTTTCAGAGGTGGGAGGAAAACCCCAGACGAATATTCCAGATAAAACCCACGGAATCAGGTAGGGACTGAAAATCCAATCCGAGTGTGTACCAGGGCTGGAATCGAACCCGGGCCATAGCGGTGGAGGGCGAGGAAAGTAACCACTGTGCCAACCTGACTCCCTACTCTAAGAATGCTGCCTGCAAACATAACAATTCATACCCCCAGGTCTTTCAAAGTCCAAGAGTTTGGGAGGATGATGCAGAATTGGAGAGTGCAGTTGAGGGAGGCTTAGTATCAGAACTTTCACTCAACCTACCTGGAAGGTTTGACAGAAGACATTTTCAACATCCTCCTCCTCCTCCTGGTAAGCCAACAGCTCCTTCAGTCCCCTGCCTAGCGAGGGTTGGATCTCCATCAGGTCTTCTATGTCCATGACCTCACCGTGGAGCTTCTTGTAGATGGCCGTGGGGAAGTGGACGTCTAGGATGATACCGTTGTAGATGGCGAGGCCTAGGAGGGAACCGACGAGCTCAAACTCATCGCCTGATTCTAAGGAGCCACCTGCGAAGAAGTATATTGCAAGTCAGTCATAAGACATCACAAGTCAATTGGAAGTCATAATAAGACACTGTAAGTCATCATAAGTCAATCACAAGTTATTACAAGTCACACAAAGCTTATCACAAGTCAATCACAAGATAATCAAGTTATAACAAGTCATAGAGAAGTTATAATAATTTAACCGCAAGTCATAACAAGTCAAATATCAGTCATCACAAGTCAATCACAAGCCATCACAAGTCATCACAACTCATCATAAGTACTCACAGGTCATCAGAAGTCATTACAAGCTAATCACAAGTCAGTCACAATTCAATCACAAGTCCTCACAAGTCAAATTTGAAGTTCTTCAGTTTCATCAAGTGACAATCTATTCAAATAAACTGGACACATGCCTTCCTTCTTTTTTGTCTATCCTCTATTACATGTGACACCTGGCTTGTGATTGACTTGTGATTGACTTGTGACTGACTTGTGATTGACCTGATTACAAGTCTGTTCAGTTCATCTGGGGTTTATTTTAATTGACATTCAGCATCAGATTTGAACTCACCATTAATCCAAAGTGTTCTAGACTCTTCTAAGACCGTGAACATGGCATATTTGGGGTCAAAAACAGCCTCTGTGATAAGTTGAAAGAACTCCTTCTGCAGACCACCCATATCCAAACCCTGAATCAAAAATAAGGATAAAAAACTCACAGTTTAATGGACAACTTCACATTTGGATATATGGTTATTGCCATTCCTGATTTGTTGAAGTCAATTTCTCAGCCGACACAAGCAGAAGAAGCAGATTTTGTGTACTAAGTCAGTATTTCAATCCAATACACTAGCTCTCTTCAAGAATTAAGATAGCACTTTGATCTCGGTTTTAATGTATGCACTTATAACATAATAACTGATAAAAAGAACTGAACATAGTAGATAACCTGAGTTAATTAAATTTTTAAAATGTGAATAGAACCCTCTACTTTCAGGCATTACCCTGCTCATTTGGCCCATGAAACATTCCAAATACCATCTCAGCTCCCTGGGGAGTATACAGCTCCATGCTGCCATTTCAGCGCAAAGCAGCTACATCAACCACAATAACCATCTCTGCCCTCACAGGTACCCATTTACTCCTGGGTGGAGAGAAGTAATGAGTGACAAAGTGCCTTGCCCCAGAGCACACGCACCGTAACCCCAGGCTGGACTCGAGCCTACAACCTGCAGAATTACCCGCAGACCACAAATTCAATGCTCCAGACCACTAGGCCATGGCAGTCCAGCAACAGTCCCTCGAAGTCAGTGGCCCAAAACCTCTGAAACCAACATTAAACACTCTGTGTAATACTACTGACCTGTTCCCCGCCACCCACATACTTGATCTTGAGTGGTTTCTTCAGGTCTCTGCGTTTCAGTCTCATCTGGGCTAAGGTGTCTCTGATGAGGGAGAATCTGCGGACCTCCAGGACCAAGAACGGACACATGGCTGCCTTGATGGAGTCCTTCAGGGCGTTCTTGTTGGGATTGAGCAGGTACTTCTGGGCCTGGTAGACCCTCTGTTAGAAGACAAAGATAGATCGTGATTTTTGCACAATGCTATACATGTATTTCAGTCCATCACAAGTTTATTACAAAGTCTTGTCACAATAACAAAGGTATGGGCTTGTTACAATTCTTGGGACTGGATGAGTTTAAACTGGATGACTTGTGTTTGACTGGTAAAAACTTGTGAGGACTTGTTACGGATGTAAGATTTTCGGCCCTGCATGGTAGAACATCAGTATCGTTTCAGTTTGCGGTAACACCATGTGGTTATCACTACTGTCACTCAGTAGATATTTAGTTCTCATAAGAACTTGTCCTGCTTATTATCATTTCACTAAGTAGTTTTAGTTCTGTCTCCTGATGATGACTAGAGCAGGCTAGTCGAAACGTTGAGACCAAAGACAAGTTCTTTTAGAACTTAAAGCAGGACTTTTCTTATCAGAACTAAAACTACTTAGCGAAAGTTGATAATAAGCAGGGGCACTTCTTATCAGAACTAAATATCTACTGAGCATCAATAGTGATTAACACATGGTGTTACCGCAAACCGAAACAAGACTTGTTAAAGACTCAACAACAGCAACAATGTGTCAATATTTACAAGGTAGATTAGTTACTTCAATGTTTGTCTGTGGATTTTTTTTGTTCAGAATTCAGCTGATTAGATAACTTGAAGAATAAGCCAATTGCCCACTTTCTCATTCAAATGCTGGGCTTATCTGACTAGATATAACTGTTAAGTAATTTTTTTTAAAACTTATTCTTATTTTGTATAATATATAATAATAATAATAATGAGTCAAAAAGACATTCTGTGTTTTACCAAAACCTGACTAAAATGGTACAAAAACTTGACTGATCTGGAAATTAACCCTAACTCCCTAGGCTTTTTTGCTAGGATGTAGCATCAATCCTGCAAAATCCTCCAATTGGCCTCATGGAAAAATAGCATGCATATAGCCTCAATCCTGCAAATTCCTCCATTATTTCTTGAATATGGTTCGTGGAGAGGTGACCACTGCCTGAATCCTGCAAAATCCTCTGGCTATGACTGTCAATAGGCTGAGGCAAAGGCAGTGACATCCTGGAGCAGTGCGGAGGATGTCAAGTATAATCAAGGGCTAAATTTATGCACGGCTGAGCATAAACAACACAAGGTCCGGCCCAAGACCTTGACACAGTGCGTACTCCGAAATCAGCAACCCACTTTTGCCATGTAACCTCAATCCTGCAAATTCCTCCAATTTGCAAAAAGGATTTTGGAGGATTCAGGGCGGTTAGGGTTAATTAATGAAGACATGTTTAGATCTGACTTACAGCTTGATGCAAGATGGCTGCCTGGTACTCCTGTCTCATCTGCATCACAGCATCGAGGTGCAAGATGTGGACTTTGGACTGACAGAGCAAAAGTTGGGAAAAAATCAGTAACAATATCTTACAGGGTGAGTCAGAATGATCTGGACCCAAATTAAAGAAAATATTAAAAAGATGTAGCAATTATCAGAACAAGTGCAAATGAGATATGTTATAGGCTGGTATTTTGAACATATTTGGTGAAAGTTTCATGTATATCCATTGTACCATTTTGGAGAAAAGCGCTAGCGAAGAACGCACGCTAATAAACACTCTGACTACGGTTCCATGGTTCAACAAATTTATTGAAATCACGTACTGGTGTGAAGCAGTGTTATAACAAACAGAAACCTAGTCATGGTGACTGACTCACTTGAAGTTATTGACACATTTAAAAAAGGCAAAACCAATTCCGTGTGCAGACTGGAAAATGAGCCACTTCAATGTAACTGGCATAACTCCTTTAATACCACAGCCACTAATTTGAAAAAAAAAAAAATCGAAATTCCTGTGGAAGACAAGGTAATAACCATTCATATGAAACACTCTCAATATACTCTATTACAAGAAAATGGTGAAAATTGGGTCCAGATGATTCTGACTCACCCCTGTAGTGAATTTTCCACTCGTGTTATGAAATATCATATGAACATGACTACTGCTCCAAATCAATTCACCATAGAAAGAGTTACATTGGTAGACTAGTAAAGGAATGTTACGTCTAAATAACAAAATAACTACAGAGATAAAAACTACAGAGATGTATCTAAGTTAAGATACAAGGAACTTACAGAAGGGTCCAGAAGAAATGGGAAGTCTAGTAGTGACTCCATCTCACTACCAGAGACAGCCCTACTATGGGCTCCTTGCTCCTCACTCAGGCCACTGCTACTGCTGGTGCTACTGAAACCGCTATCGCTGGTGGAGCTGTGACTGACGCTGGCTGTTGCCTTCTCCTTGCGCTGGGCTCGTAGTTTCCACTTGTGGAATTCCCCCATGTAGTCCATGTTCCTGATGGGATTGGAGGGAAGGGAGGGGATAGAGAAATTTGTAGTATTCCTGATGAATTATTGGCGATTTCATTGACAAAAGTGAATTAATGTCAGAATTTCTCACCAATATCTCAGTACAGTGGAACGTCGCTATTCCGAACACCGCTATACCGAACATTCGGCTATATCGAACATCAGCCTTGGCTCCCAATTTTTGTGTACAAAACATACCGAACATTGTTGTTGGAAATGTCAACAGAAGAGCGACAAATGGCTATTATTAAAAACTGTGTAATGACATGATTCAATAGTCGCACGTGTTCGAAGCTGTCTTTCAGTAACTACCAGGGCGTACTTGGTGAAGTTCTGCTACAGAATTGAAAATAGTAATGGACATGTTAGGCGACTCCGCGCGTGGTTTGTAAGAGCAACTACACAATAACAATGATCAAAAGAGTGCGCCACTGATGTGTGAAAATCGCTATACCGAACAATCGCTCTTAAGAACAATTTCTGTGGATCCCACGATATTTGTTATAGCGACGTTCCACTGTAGTCATTATCTCAAGTCTATATGGGCCCCACTAAAAATGTGTACAAAAGGACCTGAATTACAAAATTTTGTTCAATTGTCAATTTCAGCACAAACAAAATAGCAACACATAGTAAATTGTTTCAGAAATATTATCTAACATATTGCATTTGACAGAAAGTTGTTTTAACGTAAACTACGATAATTGTCAGGCTTACAATTTGAGCCAAGCCTTTGCCAGAATAGTCAACAAATTGTCCTTGATCAAATGTCCTCAAAGTTGACTAAAATGATATAAACACATTACATTCACCCCCACTTCCCCCCCCCCCCCCAACCCAACAAATCTTAGATTTCTGCAGATAACAGCTGGCAGAGTTCTAACAACGATTTTGTTTTTTAAGAACTACACACCTTGACAGTTGATCGCTGTAGAAATCCTTCATTGTCGCCAGCTGTTCTGGGTTATGGCGCGTCTTCCCTTCAGACTCTGCTAGTGTGCTAGCCTCATGAAGAACAGACAACACCTTGGCAATGCAGATGATGTTCTCGTGCACACTAAAAGAGAACACAAAACATACTTATTCTATCACAGCTGGAAAAGGTTAACAATGCACTGTACTGGAATTGACAGTATATCAGAAATGTTCCACCGACACAGCCCAACATTTGGAACTTTTCTCTAATTTTGTCGACGGTGCTAAGATTCAAAGAAATTGTTGCTAAACAAAACGAGTCTCAAAGTGAGAAAATTCTCAGTCCAGATGTTTGATTGTCGGTGGTCAAAAGGTTATGGTGTGTGATGGTATGTGGGTTCGAACCCTACTTTTTGTGTTCTTGGGCAAGATACTTTATTGCAATTTCCTTACTCCACCCTGGATTGTCAATGGGTACCATTGACAGTACAGACCAGATTTGCGCTGACAACGAGCTGTGGCCAAAAAACCTGATCTCATGGCTTCTGAACATGGGTAAAAAATATGAAGCGCTTTGAAATGTTGGTAAAGAGTGCAATAAAAGGCACAGCATTATTATTATTATTATACAGTCAGAGTGTTACCAAAATGCAAGCAGTACCACATGTATTGAATTGTAGGCATGACAATTTACCGGTGGTTTGGCCGTAAGACAGAGCCCAGGTAGGTCTTGATCAACTGGAGCAGACGCTGGAAGTGCTTCCTGTCATAGGAGGACAGCGCCCTGACTAGAGCCTGATGTGTGTTGGCAGGCAATTTGGTGATGACATGGCAGAATATACGCAAGAGTTCCCGTGTCTCTAACAACGGGTTCTCAAGCAAAATAAGTATCTGCAGCAAGATAGATGGGATCGTAGATTGGATCAGTGTCCAAAAATTGCAAAGAATCTCTTTCAGTAAAATGGACAACTCTGGATTAAAATTAAAAAGTTTCTTTTAAAAGCAGAGTTTTAAGATCACTCGATGTCTTACCTGGTTGATCTGATCTGCTTGTATGACCGTTGTATCCAATGACATCAGTAGGATCTCCAGTGCGTTAGTCATAGTGGACAGGAACACATCCAGAGGCGTCAGGGTCCATAGTAAGGCATAGGCTTGCCTGACAGCCGAGAGGTCGATGCTAGCTAGGTTACCATCCTCATACTTGAGACAAAACATTCAATAAGGAAAAAAAAACCCAGGTTTTTACTGTAGTCTGTTGAACAGGAAATTTACCAAAGCTAGGGCATAACCAATTTCACAACATACAGCATTCTGGGTGCTTTATTGATACAATGTATTTTGGTGAAATGCTTTAAACAATGCACCAAGTAACGTCTTACATTTACAGAAAAAAATGTTGAAAAACTCAAAACTGCCAACATCAGACAGAAACTTCATATAATGTATCAAGTGACAACGTAAGTGGGAAACAATGTCCTAAAACAAAGACTAGCGCTCAAATAGTTCAATTCTTTAACCCAACCCTCCAGGGTATTTTGGCTAGAAACCCTGCCAAACGTAGCAACATGCAATCTAAATGACAAGCCTGCCCAGTGCAGCAAGATCCATCAGGCCAAAAATCTCAAGGCCAAACTGCCTCAGAGTCTGTGGTCACTGAATGCAGCAGGATACAACTGTGGCATTGTGGAATGGGATTAGCTCTCAATGTTTCAGAGCTGGCCATTCATGCACTGGTGTTGGTAGCTGAATGCACCAAAGCGAACCAGTTCTTTTCCACCTGATGCACTGTGTTGCGTCTGGCAGGGTTAGGGTTTTAAAGGCCAAAATTGTGTACCCTGAAATGACTTTGTACAATTATTCTTAAAAAATGTGACTTTTTAAAGGTACATTTATAGTTGTGTGTTCTTTTCTGCTTCATAATGATCTTTCAAGCCGTAATATTTTCATCAAAAATGCATTTTTTGGGACTAAAGCAGTGCTGCCAAACTGTTCTGTAAAACGTACTAACCCTAAAGCTTGCATTGAGTGCCTCTGACGAAGTGAATACAGTTCGGATGGTGTTGATCAGGAACGAAGGATCCTCTGAACTCTTGTAGGTCTCAATGGCTCCCTGAAATAACCAACCAGAGAACACATTAAACATACCAAGAAAACGTCAATTCAGCATATGCGCGTGCAGCATATGAGTCGACATGGTCATACATGTTTTTTTTGTAAATGTCAAAGAATTTCAAAGAGAACATTTTATAAAAAACCTGAAAAATCAGAGTTGAAACATCAGGCCCTCTTACTGTTACCATTCACTCCACACTTTCAATGGGGGCGCTGTTCAAATAGTGGCACATTTAAATTAGGACTGCAGTCGATGTATCTAAGGTGGGACGCAGGCTTAACATTTTGAAATTGTTTTTTGTAGAATCAGTCCTTTCAAACAAAAGATTTCGACGTCGCGTTATTTAGCAAGGATTTATATTAAATGTACTTACCACTGTCGTCCCTTTACAACGCAAGATACAGATTTTTTGAGGCTAAAAACGAGGCTTTCAAACTCCATATCCTACAGGCATCGCGCAGTTTAAAAAAATATGTTTGTACGTGACGTGACGTGCAGGAGATAACACGCGAGCGCATACAGGCATGCAGTTTACGAAATACACGCGCAGTACGCTCTGCATAGCCGGTCAGCGTCGTTTGAGTAGTCCTCACGGCCAGGGGTTAGTGAAGGAACGCGCCCATGGAGTCGAGGCTGTTTACGCATGGATTTCAAGTACAAAAGGGCAATCCCACGTTATGAAAATGTAATGTGAATAATCGATTTTGTGCGTCTTGTTTATCATACATATCACATTTTTCGGGATATCATCTTTGGTGCTTAGGTAGGTCTAGGTCTACTCTATCTACCATGGGGATAACAGTTATTAAACCTTTTCAGTAAGGTAATAACAGCCCAAGGAAACTCAAAAGTACATCAAAAATGCAACGTGAGTTACCGTGGAATTGCCCAAAAGCAGATATGCAGATAACCCTCGGTATGCAGATAACTGTGAGCATTTCATCGGTTTGTGGATAAGCATGGATGCACCGAGCACATGACATTGTGTACAGTGAGCTGGCTCTCTAGTAACTCAATACAGCTCTTTGGTGACAATGCGCACACCATACCTCAAGCATAGGCAGCGTCAGATGGGTGAGCGAGAACTCCCCGACACCGTCCCAAGACATCTCCAGCGACACCGACCTCTCAAACTGTCTCAGGTCATCGGTCTCATCCAGGGCTTCCTGGGAGGACAGGAGGCGGGCCGGGGAGCTGTTCATGGAGGGCAGGGAGCCGGGCGGACCGCTGCCGAAACTCATCGCTGAGGAGATGCTCAGGTTGCCATAGCTACCGACGGGGGTACTTCTAGACCTGGTCAGGGTTTCAAGGCAAAAATGTGAGAAAACTGGATGGAAAGGATATTTGGATATTCTAACAGACCAATAATACAATATTTTTAGCTAATTTCAAAGTTAGAATGTTGCATCAACAGAAGATTTGTTCACAATAAATCAAAAAGACAAAAGAAGAAGCCCTTACCAGTAAGACAGCAGAAAGAGCGTCTGCAACCAAAAGGTGGTAACAGTTTCAAACTATTTTAACCCTCACCCTGCCGGACGCAACAGAGTTTATCAGGTGGAAAAGTCTGGTGCGCTTTGATGCATTCAGCTATCAACACCAGTGCATAAACAGCCGCTTCTGAGACAATGAGAGCTAGTCCCATTGAACAATGCCACAGTTGTATCCTGCTGCATTCGGTGACCACAGACTCTGAGGCAGTTTGGCCTTGAGACTTTTGGCCTGATGGATCTTGCTACACTGGGCAGGCTTGTCATTTAGACAAGTGTTGCATGTTGCTACGTTTGGCAGGGTTTCTAGCCAAAATTTCCTGGGCCCAATTTCACGGCGCTGCTAAGCACAAAAATTTGCTTAGCACAAAAAAAGTCTTGCTTATAAAAGCAGGTTACCAGCCAAAACTCCATGTGATTTTCATGCTAAGCAAACAACAGTTGAATGCTAATCACGAGCAATGTACATCACATGGACTTTTGGCTGGTAACCTGCTTTTAATAAGCCAGACATTTTTTGTGCTAAGCAAATTTTTGTGCTTAGCAGCGCCGTGAAATTGGCCCCTGGAGGGTTTAGGGTTAATGTACTAGGTAAATGTCTAGGACCATCGCACAGATAGCCAATATCTGTTGGTCTATCTGTCGGCAGATCCCAGGATACTGGTAGGTATCTTACTGTCTGGCTGTGTCAAACCCAAATATCTGGCACGTCTTAGCCAGTGGGCACAATCGACAGCCAACAACTTGAAATTGCCAATTTGAGACAGTACCCCTATTAACCCTAACGTACCTGAATCCATCAAAATCCACACCCCTGTTTCGGGGGATTTTGGCGGATTCGGGATACCTCCATATTGAAAAAGTTGGGGGATTTTGATAGGTTCAGGACATGAAGCCTAGCGGTACTGCAGGATTTTGATGGATTCAGGATACCTCTATCTTAAGCAGTTTGGGGACTTTGATGGATTCAGGATCTCAACAGATTTACTCCCGGCTAACTGGTGGATTCTGATGGACTCACTGGCCACCAAAATGTTTTTGCATGGCAAAATTGATGGATTTTTGCGGCATCCAGGATACTTTCTAGTAAATATACCCTAGGGGTTAGGGTTAAAACTGAAGAATAAGACCTATTCAGCAAATAGTTTCCATTTTACCTGCCGTGGTGGATCAAGAAATTCTCGTCCGAGCCGAAATCGTCGGACAACAAATGGGTTGCGTCCGATTCCCCCGACGCGAGATTGGGGGCGCTGTGCTGATGGGACAAGCGTAAGTCGTCTCTCGCAGCCGCCGTCGACAACCTCTGATGGTCTTCCGAGAAGTTGGAGTCACTGCTTCCAAAGTCATCCAGGCCGGCCTGATCAGAAATCCCATTCAATCTGCCATCTTTTCCTCTTATCCCGGTTTCTGACTTCGACTTTCCTTTTCTACTGGAGACTTTTCTCAGAGGGCTTGGTCCTTTCTTTCCCGTCGGTGGCTTGGCGTTGATCAGGCTCCCGGTTTGAGCGGGTGCTGGAAACTTCGTGCTATGATTCGGCGGGTGGCTGTTTGCGACAGCTGGAGACAGCTTCCGTTTGGGTTCTGCCTGAGGGGGCTGGGTGGTGAACAGCGACTTGAACGGGGTGGTGGAGAAGAGCGTGTGGAGGAATGGCTTAGCCTCTCCGTTGGGTGGTTGGAATACTTCCTGGGGCAAGGGGCGGTCGGCGTAGTTATCGACTTGGCATAAATAACGTCTGAAAAATAACGAAAAAGTATGACAAAATATGACCATGTACTCCTCATGACAATCTACAGGGTGAGTAAAATAAAACGAAACCCAAATGTCGGGACCATTGTTTTAGAGAAGTTCTGCATATAGCATTTTCAAAATGTAGGATATGAAAGCCCTATTCATAAGCTTTCTTTTAGTACAAGAATCATTCAAATCACTCATGTTCCTTTTCAAGTTACGGAGTTTTAAACACAACAACCGTTTTAAGGTTCTGTCCACGGATCCTAAAAAAATTCAGTGTTCTTTCAGCAAAACGAACACAAATCACATAGGGATGTGTGTGAATTGTTTTCGTTTTGCTGAAAGAACGCAAATCTCTTTGGTGATCCGTGGACAGAGCCTTAAAACGGTGGTTGTGTTTAAAATTCTGTAACTTCAAAAGTACATGAGTGATTTGAATGATTCTTCTACTAAAAGAAAGCTTATGAATTGGGCTTTCATATCCTACATTTTGAAAGTGCTAAATGCAGAACTTCAATAAAACAATAGTCCCGACATTTGGGTTTCGTTTTTTTTTTTACTCACCCTGTATAGGGCCTACAGGGTGACCCCAAAAAATGCAACCCTAAAACATTTGCCTTTAAAAAAAAAAAGGGATGGGTGGATTTTTATGTTTTAGGTATCAGATTAAAGCTGAAAGCTTTTTCTTTCAAATACTGAAACATTATTGAAAATGGCAGTTTGGGTTTCATTTCATCTCATTTCATTAACATTTATTTCCAATTCTCTCCATGGCAAACTCTTGGTGGCGCACTGCATTGTGAATCGCCCGAATTGTTCAACTCTGGTTAATAGGGGCTCTCATCACTTTATTTGGCTAGGTTAGAATGAAGAACTTGTGAAATATTAATTTGTTGACCCAACAAATGTTGGAGTAATTAACAAATTAAGCAAAACGAACTACACATTTTAGTATAGGTTTTCCCGGCCAATTTCCTCAAATGTTCATTCATTTCTGAAAATCGATCATTCATTTTCGTCTGAATTTGAATGCACGTCTTTAATCCCATTTCAATTCAACGAAAGTTTAATCGTTTTCATTTCTCATGCATTCGATTTTGAGAAACAGACGGCCAATTACGTTACCCGTGCATTCATTTACGCAAGTATACCTTTTCTAAATTGATTTCAGGTACAGCTAATTTGATTGACGGTTAATTAAAAAGAAACCCTTAATTGTATCTGGTGCCGATGGCATTAAACCGCCCTCTGAAAGCCAAAAAGAAGTTTTGTAAACGAATCTGAATGGACATAAACGAAAGGTGCTGCTCAATCACTAAATTGATTGAACTGAAATGGAATTGAATGCTCTGGTAGCGAAAATGAAACGCGTATTGAGCGATTCTCAAATTCAGACGAAAATGAATGACTGATTTTCAGAAGTGAATGAACATTTTAGGAAATTGGCCGGGAAAACCTATACATTGCCTGCGCGGATGAAGAAAATAATTATGCAAAGCCTATATTAGTTTACAATGATATCAAGCAATTCTTTAAGCAAATCCTTTTCGGATGTATGCTGGTTAACAAAATGAAACCATGAACGACTGAAATGAACAAGTTACCTTTGACTTGATGCCAGTCTAATACTGATAATGGCAGCCACGTCGCAGTAAACTCTCTTGCTTTCTGAATAGGGAAAGCAATGAAAACATGAAATAACAAATGTTATCCAGGCATAACGGTGATGGTGAGAGTTCAATTGCCAGGGTTGAGTGTTCCTAAACCTAGACTTTCAACATTCTGAATATAATTCCAAATACGTCCAGGTTGCAAAAGGTGGTTCTGAGCATTATGCATTTTTCAAACCAACAGAACAACTTCAGAAGAAAATCTTGTGAAACAAGACATCTACATTCTAGAAACAAACTATTGCTACTCCAAACTAGAACAAACAGACTCAAAAAAAAATTAATTTTAACTTGATCGCATTTTCAATTATTTCCAACACTTTAAATTTGGCTTGAGGGCGACAATTAGGGCGATTCACAATGCAGTGCACCACCAAGACTTTGCCACAGAGAGTTCATTTTTCCCAGTGCATTGTGGGAGAGGGTCAACAAAATTCGCAGCGCGGGACATTTGAAATTGTTAGTTCCGTTCAGTAGTTTCGTAAGTGTACGATTCAAGGATCTGTTTGCCCTTTGCTTTTCTTTTTATCAAAATGGTTTTTTTTGAAAGGCAGCAGAATGCTATCCCCAATCTATAACATATTAGCTCAAGTTGTCTACTGACACTCATTCAAGTGGGCCATGTTTTGTCGACCATAAACTTGAAAAATGGACTCTCCATGGCAAACTCTTGGTGGTGCACTGCATTGTGAATGGCCCGAATTGTGTGATAAGAAACAAAATCCAACCAAAACAATTATCTAAGGCAGCCATTGTTCATCCTTAAAATGATTCTTTGTAACATTGAAACTCGACCAACTATGGGAAAGTCCAAAATATTATTATTTCTAGCTAGCATTTCAAATGATACCTTTACAGGAGCGGCAGAATCTATTTTGGCATTCCTCATTCCCGCAGCCCTCTGTCAGCTGATAGTAGTACTGCTTGACCAGCTGCACAAAGTGACGTTTAGCCGCCGAGCCGGAGGTGTTGGGGGCGTCGTAGCTGCGTAGCGGCAGGGCTTTCTTGATGGATAGATTGCTATCAGAGAGGGCCGCAAGGTTGCTGGCACTCAAATTCCTGTCCAGAAGAGAAATTGAATGTATGATTATAAAAATTGTTGGTAAAATTCTTTTCATACAAGAAAAACTTAATAATTCCCTCACTGGCTGACAAACTCAACAGTTGAGTGCTCCCTGCCTTCATAAAGCAGGATTGACTGGCTGTGACTGTTTATGTAACTTGATACAGCTTTGCCTTATATCTAGGTGATTGATAAGCCAGCTGTGCCTACCAGTCACCTGCTTTTGTCTGTTGATGGAATTTGACTAGTCACAGTGCTCACAACAAATATGATCTCATTGTAGGTAACTAGCCTGTGTATAAAGGCATGGCTGGAGTCTTTAACTGTTCAGACAGCAGGAGGGTAAATGAAGAAGCAAAGTCCGTGATTTAGAATTGATATCTTGGAAAATATCAGCGACAATGAAAAGTATGTTGGCACTAAATGAATTAAACGACAATGAAGCTTCAGAGCTATTTCAGGCGTTGGCAAATGGACCGCTCCAGATTTGCCAATAAGCCCCTCCCACCTTTGGTATGTGTACATTGTCCAATCAGATCACATCTTTCAGTAAGGTGACCCGGTCACCTAAATAAAAGATGTGACCTGATTGGTCAATGCACAGCACACTGTTTGATTGACAGGCAGGGAGAGTCCATTTTAGGACTTCCCAACTTAACAGACAAAATATGGACCAATCACATTTAGTCTTTGATCATTACCGCTTGATGTCCGCAATACGAATGAGACTATTGGACCGTGGTCTTTCAACTGGAACCAGGTTGTCCACAGAGTTACTGCTGTTGCTGGGAAGCTTTGGGTGGCTCGTGGACAGCTGTCTGTAAAGATACAACATTAAAATTCTAAGTGTGAAAAGAAGTTTCCTAAGGTCAACCCTGAAAGCCTACCTCCCCGATAAATACATATTTTTTTCAGATAACACTGCCGCGCGATTCTTTTGCAACCCTTTGTGTGAAAACCGCAGATGTAGTAGCTTATGCCGCTAGTTTCGTTTTTGTGCAGTAAGTCCCATAGGGAGGCCTTTCGGCGCCAACCCGCATGGCTCTCATGTATCGCAGTCTAAAGGTACCTTAACCTGGATGGATTCAGACAAACTTGGTACCGTTGGCAAGCGGATGAATGGGCCAACCAGCATGCAAATCGGCAATGCTCTAGACCTGAAACTTTTGGAGAAAACCGCAAATGTAATAGCTGATGCCGCTAGTTTCGTTTTTGTGCAGTAAGTCCCATAGGGAGGCCTGTCAGCTCCAACCCGCCTGGCTCCCATGTCTCGCAGCCTAAAGGTACCTTAACCTGGATGGATCTGGACAAACTCGGTACCGTTTTGAAGCGGATGAATGGGCCAACCATCATGTAAATCGGCAAGGCTCTAGACCTGAAACTTTTGGAGAAAACCGCAGATGCAGTAGCTGATGCCGCTAGTTTCGTTTTTGTGCAGATAACACTGCCGCGCGATTCTTTTGCAACCCTTTGTGTGTTTATAGACTGATATCTTGCCGACTGGTTTTACACAAATAGGATACAGCATTCATGCAGAAGGTAAAATTTAGGACATTAGAGTACTGAAAAATCTTGTTTTCTACAACTCCGTAAGGGAAAACACATTCAGTGTTGAACGCCGCTAAAACGAACATCGTAGGATCCACAGAAAACGTTCGTACTAGCGATTGTTCGGTACAGCGATATTAAGCTGCCGGTGCACCGGTATCACTTTTCAATGAATAAATAACACGCCCTCGTACATGTAGTTACTGAAAGGCAACTTTAAACACGTGCCGACTATTGAATTATGTAATTATACAGTTACAGCAATAGGTGTCTTTCCCCTTCTATTCCTTGGGGAAATAGTAGCCACTTGTCTCTCTTCTGTTGACATTTGTCAACAACAATGTTTGGTACGTTTTGTACCAAAAAAATTGGGAGCCAAGGAAGATGTTCGGTATAGCTGAATGTTCGGTATAGCAGTGTTCGGTATAGCGACATTCCACTGTAATGTAAACTGGTCTGACCACGCTAAAACTTTTCATACCTAGGCCTTACTAAAGTGTCTCTACAACTACAAGCATAGAAAATTTTACAACAACTGACGGTCATTGTGTTTCAGAGATCAGAATGGTCCAGGTGGTATCTACCCCAATCTCCGCCTTCTTCAAAAGGTTACATCATCAAATGACCATTGCACTTACCTTGTAAATCTTAGCTCTACTAGTTCTTCTTTGTTGGGTGCGTAGGGTAGAGAAGCTCTCTTGCCTTGGTAGTCTGGCACACCGGGGGACAGAATATGCCGAGGAGAAGTGCTCATCTTATGCAGTCAATTTTCATTACAACTCCAAGACAAAAACCTAAAACAAAATACAAAGGAAATGGAAAAAATTGGAAAATGCTGTGAATACAGTTATTGAATTACTGCCTGACTTCTTAACATAATTATGGTGTGGCTAGTACTAGTGCTTAGTCAACAGGATAATAGGCTAATATGAAATGAAAAAAAAATTGAACTTTTTTTTAGGGGGGGGGGGGTTGAAAAATAATTCCTAAAATAATTTAAGACTCGGAATGGTATTGAAATGTACACCATACTGTAACAAAATTTGATTTTATTATGGTCCCAATTGCACCTTTAAACTATATAGAGAGCGCTTTGGCCACAGTAATCCATAGCAGTCATGTATTACACCTGTTCTCAAGTCAGATTAATGCCACAAAACTATTTCAGAGCTTACTTTGTTCAACTTAAGTCTTAACCTACTTTACACCACAATAGAATAGTATTTGGTTTGCAGTCAAACCACAGATGGAGCTCTCATGGCAGTCTTTATTGTTTACTCTCACAATACTGGGATATAAGTTCCTTGCCCCCATACCTCTGTACTTAGTGTTTTATATGCAAATATCTCCCAGTACGAAAGACACACTGCATTAGTATGCCTAATTTTGAAATTCTTATGCATATTTTTACCCATCACTATAAAACCCCTTTGAAAGCCCAATAGGGCGTGGACTTGCGACTGGGGCATGGTGGTGGATGGTGGTGTGCATTTTAGTTCCATAATTTCTGAGTTCCTGTACATGTATGGCTGAAGGTGGAAGCCTAGTTTAATTTGGCCTTCGTTTTTGTGCAAGACGCTGTGTTCTTTAATTTTCATCACCACCACCACCATTACACCAAAGTGTTCAGTGGTCTGCATAGTCTTGTGAGTATGTTCCAATATTACCCCCCTTGCTCCCAGTAGTTTTTACATTGCCTGGTTGTAGACTATGGTGTTGTATCGTAGTGGTGCCAGTCTGAACTCTGCTCTGTCAGTAACTATTTAAATTCTATCATTTATATTTATATGCTCTCCCCTGGTTAATTATTTGTAAGCGAAGAAGCGCTAATTAAATTTTTATTATTTCTATTTTCTGATATTGCATATAAATATACTTGTCCCTTTGTCGGTTATTTTGTGATCAGCATCCATTTATTTTTTTATTAATTAGTTAATCCCCCCAACTGACGGTTGGCCTCTTTGGGTCGCCGTTACAATACCTACAGTGTACATGCCACAAAAAATGTCCTGAATATTACTGTATTGTTCATGTATTATATTGCTTATGGCTACCCCCCCCCCCTTTATTTCAGGCCTACGCTAAATTGGTCTTTAATCACCATGTCAATCAATAATGTCAATAGTCAATAGGCCTACTTCTTGATTGGCCATCACGTGCCATTTCGAGGATAGGCCCTTCCGCTACTTCTACTTCTAGTTCTAGAATTAGAAGGCACCTCTCGCTTATTGTAGGGATGTCAACTGCTACGAGAAATGTCCTGCCAGATGGGAAATTGCACAATCAACACAAAAACTAAACCAATTTTTAATGGTTGAACATGAGAAATAAAGGGGAAAACAAGTGATGGTATGAAAGTTTATACTTTATTCTATACAGTGGTACATTTTTTTTTCGTTATTAAACAATAAAAAATGGTTCTATTAAACTATCGAAAATGGCTATTTGTAACATTTGTGCCATGGGGAGTTCTTCATTAATCGAGCAGCAAAGCGCTCAATGGCAGACACAAATCACGCAACACATTTTCAAACAGCGGTAAGCAGCTGTGCATGTCAGACCAGACAAGAAAAAGTTGGTAAAAGTTACGAATTTCTCAAGCTATTGAATAGTGTGAATGTCGCGCAGAATATTTGTGAAGTTCCTTTATGGAATTCTCATCTTCATAACAGTGGCTACAAAAGTTGCCACAGTCAGTGTGACTGATTCTGCCAGGAACACGTACTTACCACACCAAATGCCAGATTAGCTAACTATCCCCATATATACTGTACAAATGAATATTCATTGTCTAATTTGCATAATTAAAAATTAATTTCCTGAAAAACATGTACAAAGTGTCACAAACTGCAATATAAATATTCCATAAAGGTTTCATGACTCTTTTACATTTATTTTTTGAGATATTGTTATTACGCATATTAATTAGCTAACTATCCCTATACATACTGTACAGATAAATTATTCATTATTTTCTAATTTGCATAAATAAAAATTAATTGAATGGAAAACATGTACAAAATGTGACAAACGACAATTTAAACATTCCATCAAGGTTTCATGACTATGTAACATTTATTTTTTAAGATATTGTCATTACGCATATTAATTAGGTGGACTTAGATATTTTTGGCAAAAATAAGCGGTCGACTTTTCCCAAATTGTGACTTTTCCTCATTTTGAAACAACTCTCACGTTATTTTTTTTTGAAAAAATAACGCTGTTAAATGGCCATAACTTGAAAATGCCTTGACTGATTTTCATAATTTTTGTGTCATTATGTTTCAGTTTTTTAGAAGAATCCGATTAAACACACTCAAAAAAAAGAAAACCAAAGTTACAAAGATGGCGGCGTTCGCAAAATAACGGCTTAAGTTATTGCCAAGGTATTGTGTCACTAGTCAGGCCTTTGCCGCTTTGTCAGTTTGGTGGTCATTCATTTCTTGACTTCAACACCTCATCTGCCCCCCCCCCCTCCCCCATTGTGCCAACAGCCCAGCTAAGCCCGTTAGAAAATCCTGGATTTCTCTGTTCTCACCTTCTTAATCTTACAACTTCGACAGCATTTTGACGTCAAACATCTTTTCGCGGCGCGGATGCAATGTTTAAGTTAAAGCGCGCCACCGCGAGGCCAGAAATGAACAGTCAAAGCGGCGATACAGTGCGGGGTGGGCGGAGTTTCATCAGAGGGGGCAACAAAGTTGTCCGTTGATTTCTCAGATGAATATAATCATCGCAACCACGTGAGCTTAAGGCCTTAAAAAAAAAAGGTGAAATGAATACAAGTAGCTGCATTATCCAGCAATTAAAGTTTGGATACAGTGAATTTTATCATTTATACTTTGTGGTGCATTTTAACAAAAAACGACCCAGCTTTTTGTCACTTAAATATTAAATCAGGACTAAATTGTGACTTAAACTAAACCTTTCGGGGAAAAAAACAATGGAACTGACAAAGGTATAAGTTAATTATGAAGAATCATGAAGATATTATTAATAAAACACATTATTGTTTTAATTCATAAAAATGCTTCAAAAAGGGCAGATCAAAATATATTATTTTTCAAGAACGTTTGCAGTTGATTTTCAATTATAAAGTGGCTACAATTGTCTTGAACCTCGGGCTACCCCTATTCTGAGTATCACCCGTCGTCCACGGAGCCCTGCACAAGGGTCTATTACATAGACTAGGCTACCCCCAACACTGCACCCAACAATCAGTCTTTCAAATCGAAGTCTGATATTCTACCACACAGGTTTAACCTATCAATTAACTATGTTTTTTTCATAAGTGTTGTCTATCTTTTCTGTATCTTGCTTCTTCGATATGCGATTTTATCGACTTCGTATCAAAACACGTACAGATTCATTTTGTGACCAAAAACACTAAGATTTTCCACCCTGTTTCCTTGGCTAAGTCCTCAATATTTGGTCATTTTGAGTTTGCATATGAATGGCAAACCGCCGTTGTGACCACAGTCAATGTCGTTCCATGCCCCTGGTATACCCTGCCCATGGATGTCCATCATGTGTATACAGTCGTCCTTCTCATTCGATCCGTTCGGTTCTTGGCCGGCCCACATCTTGTACCTCACGGGGCTATTGTCGCTCCATTGGTAGTTGCCTTCCACCGATATGTCGTTCAGGCCGGTCCAGACCGAGTCAAATCTTGTCAGACAGCAAGAAACAAAATACAGAAAATAATATCAACACGACAAGCCTATATAGTGGGCCGGATTCACATCATTGGCATTATAGGGTAATCCGATAAAACAGCACTGCCCAAGGGCGGATCGGGGGGGGGGGGGGCAACGGGGCCATGCCCCCCCCCCCAAGGGCGGATCCAGAACACAATTTTCGGGGGGGCCAAAACAAATTTGGTCCCCCAAAAATGTGGGTCAAAAAAAAATACGGCGTGGGGTTCGGGGCCCGCTTAAGGGCCCCGAAATTTTTTTGGATTCTAGATGCTCTGTGGTGCGATCTGACTGAGGCAATTTCTGACCACTTTAACCAATGTTTTTTTGAGGAAAAGATGGTGGTGTACTCATTGCCTGCCTTTATTGCGATGTCACATTAAAAAAAAAAAAAAATTGGTTTCGTTTTTTGGGGGGGGGCCATGGCCCCCTTTGGCCCCCCCCCCCCGGATCCGCCCTTGCCCCCCCCCCCCAAAAAAAGCGAACCCAACATTTTTAAAGTGACGACGCAACAAAGGCACGGCAGACACTGCGTACACCACCATCTTTTCCTAAAAAAAAGTGGTTAAAGTGGTCAGAAATTGCCTCAGATAGAATGCAAAAAAATCAGGGCCCTAAAGGGGGCCCCGAACCCTGTGCCGTAATTTTTGGACCCACTTTTTGGTGGACCAAAAATGCACTAAAGGTGAATAAGCTTAAGGTGTAATCATGCATATCACATGCAGCAAAACAAAGGCATTGCCCGCTAAAGATGGCTGCAACGCATATGGTCTACAGTTCGACGCGACGCCAATTTGAAGCAAGTGTCAATTAATTCAAGTTTGCCAAAGAAGGCTCTCTTTTGACCTAAAGGGCCATGCAAAAAATTGTCACACACAAGGAAACTAAACTCAAAATGTTTACATGTAGTTCACTATACTGAAAGTTTTCTATACAAACCTGTTGTAGCTGCCACTAACCGAAGACGGCACAATCTTGGAGCTCCTCCATAACTCATAGATGAACGCATTCTCCGCATCACTGTGGATGGACACGAGATGGCCCTGTGTTCCCACAGGGGAGAAGTACTGCCGGCAGTGGGCCTCGGCCTCACCCCACGGCAAAACCTCACCGAAGAAACGGTAGCAGGAGTCACCGAAGCTGGTGAAAAAGGCGGGGCAGGAGGGGTCGGTCTGGGCCTTGGTGCCGTAGTAGGCCCAAGACGTGGTGACGAGATAAGCAAAAAGGAAAGTGGGAAAGATTGTGTTCATCATGCTGAACTTGAGATGGTAACGCTAGATTGAGAATAAGAGTATAATACTTTTACTCTTTGGGATTTTAACAGAGGGCAGACTAGTCCGTATGTTCCGGTAGCTGTCTGCTGAACATGGACTTATTAGCTGCTTATTTTGTTTGTCTTTGTTTTCTTTTTGGATTTGCTTATCTTTAATCAAATTATGAGACTGTTTTTAGGTAAATAGATTTATGTGTATCTGAACATAACACTGCAGCGTGGTTAAGGTCACCAATCAGTTTCCCCTATATTAAAAGTCTACTTTTCTCGGGTGGGTTTGGGGCAGGTTATTATTTTAAAAATACCCATGGAACGATGAGGTTACGATAGAGATTATGAAATTCGGGTTTTTTTTTGGGGGGGGGGGGTTACATCAGTTTTTACACAGCAATCATCTGGGGCAACAAACTACATTTGAGGGGAAAATATCAGATTCACAGCATGTACATACTGTATCACTCTAGTCCAAAGTCTAAAGACAAGGGTTTGCTGATGCTGATAGGGTATCCCTAACCGCCCCTAAAGCTACAAAATACTACTCAGTAGTAACCTGTAGTATGCATTTCTTTCCATACAAGTGTGCACATCACATGTAGTATTCTGTGGTATTTGGTCCTTGACCCCCAAAGAGCCTAGGTTAAAATATGTGCTGGGCCCATTCCACAGAAATGAAGCCGATTGTTCTCTGCCTCACTGACTGACTCCCCCGACTGACTGACCGACTCCCCGACTGACTGTCATTTGTGACTCTAATTGTAGTTTGTTGAAGAGACCTGGGCAGTGCTATCGTATAGGATAACCCAGTTATGAATGGGCTTATTCTGGCCAGTTGTGTAGACCAGATGCAAGAAAAGACTTCTGGTGAAATACAGCCATTCTAAATAGGTTATTTGTGACTCTGACTGATTGTAGTTTGTTGAAGAGACCTGGGCAGTGCTATCATATAGGATAACCCAGTTATGGATGGGCTTATTCTGGCCAGTTGTGTCGACCAGATGCAAGAAGAGACTTCCGGTGAAATATAGCCACTCTTAATAGGTTATTTGTGACTCTGACTGATTGTAGTTTGTTGAAGCGACCTGGGCAGTGCTATCATATAGGATAACCCAGTTATGAATGGGCTTATTCTGGCCAGTTGTGTAGACCAGATGCATGAAAAGAGTTTTGGTGAATATAGCCACTCTAAATAAGTTATTTGTGACTCTGACTGATTGTAGTTTGTTGAAGAGACCTGGGCAGTGCTATCGTATAGGATAACCCAGTCATGAATGGGCTTATTCTGGCCAGTTGTATAGACCAGATGCAAGAAGAGACTTCTGGTGAAACATATAGCCACTCTAAATAAGTTATTTGTGACTCTGACTGACTGTAGTTTGGTGAAGAGACCTGGGCAGTGCTATCGTATAGGATAACCCAGTTACGGATGGGCTTATTCTGGCCAGTTGTGTAGACCAGATGCAAGAAAAGACTTTTGGTGAATATAGCCACTCCAAATAAGTTATTTGTGACTCTGACTGATTGTAGTTTGTTGAAGAGACCTGGGCAGTGCTATCATATAGGATTACCCAGAATAGTGTGCACTCTGGGAACGGCCTTACTAGACTTGCCTAGCTTCGTTTCTTTAAGTGCTGTATACTCAAATGCTGTCAGAGAGAGCTTGCAAGGAAACAAATATCACATGCCATGCTCAGGTGAGACTCGAACCAGAGACCTCATGCTTGAAAGCGCAGAGGTCTTAACCATTCAACCACAAAGCAGAATATACAGTGCTTTTATATTGTGTCAAGGAAGGGCGACCTCTGTATTAAAATATACATCTCTGCAACAAATGTTCCAGTTTCTTTTCTATTTCCACTGACATAGCACCATCTAAAAGGTTCAACTAAAAGGTGAAACACATACATTGTATAGTTATTATGGGGAATGATACCTTTTAAAGGGGGATATTCCCATAGGGTTGTGCACAAAATCTTTCCAACTTTACTATCCCTAACCGCCCTAAATCCTTCAAAATCATCTTTGCAAAAGTGGAGGAATTTGGAGGATTGAGGTTACCCGGTACATGGCAAAAGTGCGTTACTGATTTCGTAGGATGCACTTTATCAAGGTCTTGGGTCGGACCTTGTGTTGTTTTTGCTCAGCCATGCATACAAATATAGGCCTGGATTATGCTTGAAATCCTCTGTCCTGCTCCAGGATGTCACTGGCCAAGCCTCAACATATTGACAGTCACTGCCGCAGATTTTGCAGGATTCAGGCAGTGGTCACCCCTCCACGGACCGTATTCAAGAAATAATGGAGGAATTTGCAGGATTGAGGCTATATGCTATTTTTCCATGAGGCCAATTGGAGGATTTGGCAGGACTGAGTCTGTATGCTATTTTTCCATGAGGCCAATTGGAGGATTTTGCAGGATGGAGGCTACATCCTAGGGTACATTGACAGGAATTAACAAAACTATTAGGTTTGAAACTTGATACATAATTATTAACTAAACTGTTTTAAAGACAACTGTTGTCAAGGGTCTTAAATGTTAAGAATGGACACAAAAGGAAGAAATATTTACATCTTTTTACGCAATGTTTTCAAAACAACTGTTTAAGCATTTCAATAACATGCAAACAGACTGAAGGACAAGCACTACGTTACATATATTTTAATATTGCACTAATTTAGTAGTAAATAAATTTTCCATCTTAAAGGGAATGTACAACATTTGCTTTTGCTGCAATTTTCAGAAATAAATGGGTTTGGAGGATTAGTATGTTATAGCAAATATTGTTAAAATGACTTGTTTCACGTTTTGGGCTTGTAGATGTTGGAAAAACCAAGAAAACCAATCATGTTCTTGTAGTCTGGTTCCCCGACCCCACTTAAGATGAAACGGAGCAATTTATAGACTTTTGGGAATTGTAAAGTCAGAGAATCAGTCTAGCAGGCTTGTACCCCTTCACAGGTGTGCAATCAATTGCAAAGACAACAATGAATAACTAATTATGAAAAATTAGAAGCAGGTTTTGAAAAAAGCCAGTTTTTTCCAACGCTGGTCGGCCGACCAGCGTTGGAAAAATACCATTTTTCTTGAGAATGATAGCACACCAGGAGCCACGATTTAACAGGATGCTTTAGACTGTCATTCCCTAACAATCCAGTACGGTATTTCATGATAATTTGATCATTTCGTTTTGTGATGTTTGCAAATGTTGTATCTTCCCTTTAATTCGACAAATAACATTTAGTAACTTGGCCTACCAATCACACATCTTTAATGTAGATTGGCCGATATTATTTACAATGTAGGGACAGTGCCAGTCCTTGTCCATTGAATGCTCAAGACAAAATGTGAGCATGACGCGACTTTTGTCAATTGACTGGTACAGTGGAACGCCGCAATAACCAGCATCGCAGGATCCACATAAATTGTTTGTAATAGCGATCGTTCGGTATAGCGATTTTAAGCTGCCGGTGCTCCGGTACTCACTTTTCAATAAATAGCACCCTGAACTTCACCCTGCATGCCCTGGCAGTTACTGAAAGATGACTTTAACACTTGCTGACTATTGAATTATGTAATTACACAGTTGTTGAGCGTACTACCTATAGCAGTGGGTGGCTTTCCCCTTCTATTCCTTAGGGAAATTTATAGCTTGTCGCTCTTCTGTTGACATTTTGCAGCAACAATGTTCGGTACGTTTTGTACACAATAATCTGGAGCCAAGGACGATGTTCGGTATAGCCAAATGTTCGGTATATAGCAGTGTTCGGTATAGCGACGTTCTACTGTACCAGTATTTTTAGTGGAGTCCGTCACAAGTCTGTTACAAGTCCGGTCACAAGTAATTCACAAGTACTTTCACAAGGCCAGTTACAACTAACAGGGGATGTACCGTGACAAAGGAATGCGTTCGTCTCGGTTCATTTGAATAGTTTGTGACTTGAACTGAGATTTGATGACTTGCGGAGACTTGTGATGGACTAGGCTACATTACTAATACAGGTTGTCCCGCAAAAAATCCTAACAGTCGAATCGAGCATGTTTTCAGAAAAGTCCAGTTAGTATTCAAAATCGTGTCTGAAGTATTGCGGAGTAAAATAATTGGTCTTCCAAATGCTTTATAGTTGGTTACATTTTGATGTTTTGTTCAAAAGATACAGCAAGCACAATACGGGACTTGAAAAACCACTTGGGCCACTTTTTTATTTATCAAGTTTACAGATTGAAGCCGGTTGAATAAGTCACACGTTACTATACTAAACAAAGGAAATAAATCCTGTGTGTGTTTCTCCAACTGCGCTTTCTCTCTTTCAAGGAACGTGGCCCAAGACAATTTTCAACCCTTGAGTTCGATGAAGCATAGCGTTTGTTTCAATGCGTCGATTTGAATGAAATAAAGTTTGTATGGAAGATCGGTTGTCTGACTTTAAGAGGTAATTTAAAAATATTCCCAAACCCACATGCGATATACCTTTATTAACTGGTTTCGGCTGTTAGGTTTTTTGTGGGACAAGTTTCCTGAATAGTTATAAAAGGTCTGTGTACCCAAAACAAGCTGAGGCAGATTTTTGGTAGTTCACTTTTGCGTTAAATACAAACAGCTCTTCCTATTCATTATGAATATGATACATTTCACGAAGCCTATCCTGACTCTATCTCGCTAACATCACCATTTCTCTTTTGGCTTAGTTGACCTCCTGTTTCCGTTTGGGTTTCTTGGGGTTACGAGAGCGACTCTTAGCCTTACAGAGGGGGCAGATGGGAGCGTTGCGGTGAATCTGCTGGTGGCAAGACAGGCAATTCTGGGGAAGAAAAAGGACAAAAAAATGAATGGAAATCACCCTTTCTTTAAAGGTAATATACAACATTGACAAACATCAAAGAACAAAACTACCAAATTATTATGAAATACCTTACTGGACTGTTAGTGCAGGACAGTCTAAAGCACCCTGTAAAATCGTGGCACCTGGTGTGCTGTCATGTTCAAGAAAAGTGGTATTTTTGTATCGATTTCCAATGCTGGTCGGCCGACCAGCTTTGGAAAAAACTGGCTTTTTTCAAATACTGTCCACAATTTACCACATTTAGTTAGTCCGCATTTTGTTTGTAAATCGATTACACACCTATGAATGGGTACAAGCCAGCTTGACTGTTTCCCCGACCTTGCAATTCCCAGGGGTCAGGGAACCAGACTACAAGAACATGATTGTTTTTCTTGGTTTTTCCAGCATCTACGAACACAAAACCTCAACAAGTCAGTGTAACAATATTTGCCATAAAATACTAACCCCCCTAAATCCATTTTGAAAGTATTTTCTAACAAAATTGGAAATGTTTCTCAGTCCCAGATTCATGTCTTTTCAACATGTTTTCAATGACTGACCTCCATTGAGACAATATATGATGGAAAAAAGTGGCGTCAGGCCAAAATTATTCTTTCCATTTCCTGCTTCCCCAAATTCGGCCCAGGATTTTTGGAAGACAGTGGCAAAAGCTCAGATGGAAATCAGGATAAATAGGGGCGGAGTTGTACCTTCATGGGCGGGGGTTGCTGTCTGAAAGGAGGGCGCTCTTCACTATGGCTCGTTGATGGCAGTTGGAACGTCGGGCTGGTTGTCGTAGGGATGGTCAGGGGTGTCGGCAGGGGCGTGTCTGTCTGCTCCTCCTTCTGCCATTCCGATTTCCTCTTCCGGAAGTAACTGTTGCGGAAAGAGAAAAAGGTCAACAGTAGAAATGTGCAATTGTAAATAGTTCATTAAGATTTTATGGAATTTTTTTCATTGTCAAATTATATATCTAGAATATGGATTAAGGAATATGTAGCTTTAAAATACAAGAAGAAAAAATCCAAAGGGGATTCAAACCCGAACCACCAACTGATCACAACAACATTTTTGGACACTGTGACCAAGTTCCTTGCCTTAATGAGTTTCAGTGCTGTGTTATGTAAGCTGTGTAAAATCCTGTTGTGAAAAGGGCTGCGGTTGGGATTGGAATCATTTGTCTGGCTATCAGTCATCATGGCAAGACCTCAGTTTCTTGCTCAAGGGAAAATGATTCCAATCCCAAACCACATCAGCCTTTTCTTCACTACATGCAGGATTTTGCACAGCAATTAAGGCAAGGAACTTGGTCACAGTGTCCAAAAATGTTGTTGTGATCAACTGACAATTATTCAGTGATGCGTGACTGAAATTAAATGAAATTCATAGGGGTTTAGGCCAAGGATAAGGTGTATCTGTGTATCTGCACAATAACAAATCAAAATTGACTTCATGGTTTTGTAGTTACATTGTGTGTCAAAAATAGTCAGTTGGACTATTTTTTTTTGGCATACTGTACTGGATAGGTTGATAAACAATAACTACTCCTTCCCCCTAAACAAAACGCTATTGCAGCAGAATCTCCTGCACTGCTTACCTTGGTGTGAGTCTGTCGTCATCCTCGCTCAGACTTGGTAGCATCTCAAGTCCGATGCCATTCCTGACGACGTCTATCTCCCCCTTCAGGCTCATGTACTCCTGGTAGGCCTGGCACGCTGCCTCAAACGACCGATTCCTGTCCTGCTCAGCATGCTTCACTACGTTCTCAATCTGATAAAAAGTTCCAAAACACGTAGATCACGTTTTTGAGAAAACAAGGCACGTATAAACACCATTCATAAATACCTAAGACAGTTTACGCATTCCTATTGGTCGAGAGCCCGTCACGTGGCCGGTCTTAAACGATGATAAAGACATGGCTAGCTGGTCTTAAACACTTTTCCAGTGTCACAATAAAATGTGGACTCCTAAAAATCCAGTGCCTCTTATCGTTTCATTGGTTGAACGTTCACAATCCTCACGTAGGCATGCGCAACACTACCAGGGAGTCAGAATTTTATAGTTCTAAATTCAAAACGCAACGCGCCAGGTGCGTTCTGCGCGACATCGCGCAGAACATGATACGCGCGCGTCAATCTCCAAAAAAGGGTTGTTTACATCTTACTCGCCAGCTGAACACTCCATTATTTTGCAAAATAATGGAGCATAAAGTGAATTTGTTGAAAAAATCGGGATGTTTTGAACGAATTATATCATTTTTTCTTACTGAAAAGGTATTTATGAATGGGAATAAATATGTGCTCCGTCGGTATTTATCACTCTGTTTAAGACCACTTAGAGTCTGGGTGCTGATAATTACCTTCGTCTCCGGCTCGGGTAATTATCAGCACCCAGACTGTGGTCTTAAACAGAGTGATAAAAACCTCCGAAGGACATATTTCTTCCCTTATTTGGGAGTACAATGAATCAAAGGTCACTGATGCAAGTTGACTTAATGCTATTATTCTTTATAATGAAAATGCAAGCCTAGTACCGCTGGTCCCAGCGTGCACAAAATTCTACTCAATTGATTCAGAATGGTTATTCACCAAAATTCTCTTCGTGCATCTGGTCTACACAATGGGCCGGACTAATGGCCCATTCACTGGCGTAAAGGTGTAATCCTATATGACAGCACTGCCCGGCTCACAATTGACAGTTGATCAAAGAAGACACCAGGCTGGCCCTCTGGGACCAGTGAAAAATTACATTTTTGAATTCTAAGATTAAAACTAATCTTTTAGTTTTGAGATTAAAGTAATTTCTTCAAGTAAAGCGATACTTCTACCAATTGTACCCGGAAATTGGCATCACTGGTTACAACGCTCTCCTTCCCTCAAAAATATGAAACATTTGACGAAAGTATTGCAGATCAATAGATCATATACCGGTACTTGGGACCAGTGTTGGAAGATTTGGCTTTGGACACTGACTTGTGAGTGCACTCTCAAGATTGCACTCAATGCAAACTTGAGTCAACTTTTTACAAACTCAAACTTGGACTCAGACTCAGACTCAGATTTCCAGGACTCGACTTGGACTCGAACTCACAGGGTGAGTCAGAATGATCTGGACCCAAGTTCGTCATTTTTTTGGTGGCAAATAGAGAATATTGAGAAAAACAATTGAGTGTTTCATATTATGAATGGTTATAACCTTGTCTTCCACAGGAATTTTGAATTTTTCAAATTAGTTGCTGTGGTGAGGAGTTATGCCATTTTCATTGAAGTGGCTCATTTTCCAGTCTGCAGATGTAATTGGTTTTGCCTTTTTCATGTGTCAATAACTTCAAGTGAGTCAGTCACCATGACCAGGTGTTTATTTGTTATAACACTGCTTCACATCAGTACGCGATTTCAACAAATTTGTTGAACCATGGAACCGTGGTCAGAGTGTTTTTAAACGTGTGTTCTTTGCTAGCACTTTTCTTCAAAATGGTAACAATGGATATTATATAGCCTGCATGAAACTTTCTTCAAATATGTCCAAAATACGGTACAGCCTATAACATACAGGTATATCTCATTTACACTTGTTTTGATAATGGCTACCTAGTTTTAATATTTTTTTTAAATTTGGGTCCAGATCATTCTGACTCGCCCTGTACAATGGAAGAACTCAACCTCAAACTCAGATTTTGATGTGGAGGATGACTACAATTTGGAACCACAAACAACTGAAACAAGAACAAACCATGCACCATGGAGTGTGACACGTGCTTGGACTTCTAGTTTGCTTGCTCATTTTAAACCCAATATCTGCATCTGTAAACTGTGCACACTGTGGCGACTGTTGGTTTAAAATCTACATCCCTAAAATTTGATAAAAAATGCCAGGGGCTTTTCCAATCAGCCGAGTCTCTGATAACAACAATGAAACGGAATCCTTTGCTATGCGAAGAACTTGCCAAAAAAAAGTGAGAAGATATCTTAAGAAGAAATCTCACTCTTTTGAAAAAAACAAAAACAAAACATCTGCCTTGGGAAATCTTAGACTGATTTTTGTCCTGCTTGACTTGTTGATTCTCAGAAAGTGTTAACAGTTGGAGCTTGCCCGAGGGAATTTTCGCTAATTGCAGAAATGATTCTTTCTTTCATCTTAAATTCTTCAGAGTTAAGTTTTGCGTAAATTAGGCCCCAGGAAACAATTACCACTGTCCTTCTGAAGCAGACTTTTCATGAAAATGGTAACAAAATCCGAAATAATTTTTCTTTTGAAACAGCAGACTTGGAATTCCAATCCAAGTTGTGTACTTGATGTCTGTGTACTGATTCCGTGACCCGACCAATCATAAGGGCTACAAGAGGTCAGACATCTTGAAAACAAAACCTTCTCTTTTCAACTTTTGAAAAATCTTATCCATCCTACAGGGTTCTCGGTAAGTTTTTGATTCCTTTCCAAGAACGTTTCACTAGTTTTGTCCAAATAAATGTCTAAAATTGAGCACAACTTTTTGAAATAAATAACAATTCAATAAAAAGTAACCACCCCCACTTTTTTTTTAGTCGCTAGAACTGTTCCTTGTCACAACCAGTTTACCCAAAGGTATTCATATCAGCCTATATTTATCTAACTTTAGTAGCCACCCACATTACCCTGCCTGGGCAAACCCATTCTGGCCACACCCTTATTACTTGCAGCATTAACGTCAAAACGTATGTATCTATATTTAACAAGCACCCAATACCTTAGTCTATGTAATAGACCATGGCGAAACTATTCTATAACATTTGAGCAGATTTACTGATTAATTATGCAAGACAACCGCATCTTGACACCTTTAGATTTTGACAAATCCGCGGGCGCTTTCTATATCGGGTCTTCGGTCATTCACCTTTGTCGTGCCATAGACATGGATAAAAAAAAATACCCTAGACACAGCAACAAAGGTTGTGGTCACGCGCGCTGTATTATGTTACACGATACGCGCATTTGAATAGACCAATCACACATGTAGTCCTGATTTGGGAATGAAATGACGTCATGATTTAGTAAAGTTGACTCCGATTGGCTGAGGTGCGGGATCTCATAAATCTGCATGCTTCGACATATCAGACGTTATACAGGAGACTTGGCTCCACAGATAATGGGTGATACTCAGACTACCAATACCCTGTGTTAAGCAATGGCCCAACACTCAATCTAGCCATACAATGCTATCAGCCTCATCTGTCTCAGTTTAGTTACCACCACGACACCTTTGCTAGCCACACCCACTTTACGGCTTGCATTGCTACTAGCCTTACATCTAAATTTAGTAACCACCCCCATACCCATCCTAGCCACGCCCCTTTACTTACAGCATTGATATCCGCATGAATCTGCCGGAGTTCCTCCACATGTGCCATCTTCTCTTGATTCAGTAGTTCCATCTCGTTGCGATATTCCTTCATCCTTTCCTCCTCGCTCTCCGTCTCTTCCACCTCTTGCAAAAGACGACCCTTCAACTTCTCCAGCTGGACTGCTTTTAAGCTGATGTCAAGAAAAAAAGAAAAAATTTCTTAAAACATTAACCCTAACCCACCTCACTCCTTTAAAATCCTCCTGGCGGTTTTGGAGGATTCTAGAGGATTAAGGATGAATGGTGATTGAATCAAATGAGGATTCTGGAGGATTGAGGATGAATGGTGATTGAAGCACATGAGGATTTTGGAGGATTGAGGATGAATGGTGATTGAAGCACAAGAGGATTTTGGAGGATTGAGGATGAATGCATTTTGAGGCAGGACTGTCTGATGATTTTGAAGGATTTGGCATTGGTTATCCTTCATTTAATTAAACACGAGTGCAAAGTTTTGGGATGAGGAGGATTTTGGAGGATTGAGGATGAATGCATTTTGAGGCAGGACTGTCTGACAATTTTGAAAAATTTAGGCGGAGTTGCAAAATTTTGGAAAATTTTGGAGGATTTTGGAGGATTGAGGATGGTTGTAAGCAACAAGGGCCTAGGGGGTTAGGGTTAATGACCACTTCGTGATAGTACACCACTACGTGTTCCGCGCACAAGTACCCCCTCAACGGTAAGAAAGGGAGAGTTGGAGTGTCATGGCTTAGCGGTTAAGAGCACCGGACTCATGCTCTGGTGTTTAAGAGGCAACAGTGGCGTGGGTACGAGCCCGCCGGGTGGACACTTGTGGCCTTAAGCAAGGCACTTAACCATTATTGCTTCGGCCTTCAGATGGGATGTAAAGCTGTAGGTCCTGTGCGTTGTGTGATGCAGTGATGCAATGCACTTTTAATAAGGTAAAAGAACCCAGCGACACTTATCGCTAAGAGAAGGGGTTTGCCTCAGTGTTTCTGGCCTCCTGTATAAACTCCCACACGGAGTATCTAGGAGAAGAACCAACCAAGAACCAAGAACACTGGAAGAGACATTCGAATGCATTGCCGATGGTACCTAATGCTCACGCGAAGACGCTATTTGGCTTTGTACACATTCAGAATAAAATCAGTCGTGTGTACTTCGTGCTATATGCGCGCAAATTTGTACGCGCATACAGTGTGTCCAGTCCACTGGGCTCACAAAAGTGGTAAGAAAGCGCCCTCTCTTGTTTGCGCAAGGAGCCCATTGATACATGTATGCAACACTTCTCAATTTTGGTGGCGCACGGTGTATCCAACAGTGAGAAGACTTTATCAAGCCTAGGCCTGCCTTATTGAACTGGACCAGAGAGTCTAAATGTATTTATATACTCAATTTATTTATACTCAGTGACTCGGGGAGTCGGGGAGTCAGTCAGAAAGTCGGTCAGTCAGTGACTCAGTCGGACAGAGGACAAAAAGCTGGCTAATTTGCTCTCAGGCAAAAATGGAATGCAAATCCCAGTTTGGACTTGGAGACTTTTTCCCATGAAGATTTTCAGTCAGATAACTTCAATGGCAATTTGCCTTCAATAAGCCAGTTTGGTATTTCAACTGCACATGCGCACAATGATATGAGTCCCGGGTCATTCAGGATAATAAAACGCTCATCGAAGGCGCATGAATGCGCATGGACCCGGGCGCACAGCACTCGTGTGCTAATTACAAGCAAAATGGGCATCTACTTCATCGAGATACCGAACTGGCTTATTGTAAATCTCTGGATTTAAAAAAATTGAATCCTATGAAAAACAACTTTTTCATGTGCACTTAACATCCGCACACGAATACTTAATAAGTGAGAAATCAGGCTTTCGGTAGGTACGGTAATGATAGAAGTTTTTTTTTTCCTGAATGGGGCTGTGCATTGGAACCGGATTCCCGAATACCCAACCACGGATGTCAGGAACCGGTTCAAGACTTCCAGATTACGGAATGAAGTACCCATGATTAACTTGACCCATTACTTACATGACTTAATAATTTCTCAGAAAATGAAAAAGACAGGTTTCGTATGCCATTGAAGGGGAATTTTCACAATAAAAACCAGGCTACATGGAAAAACAGAACAGATTCACGTACATGACGAATGCCAAAAAATGCAATTCACACCGTAAAGCTAAAGGGCTCACTGTACACACTTGTATTTTGCTGTCTTGATGCACCGATGTGGTCATATTATCGTGGAGACCTTTATGAACAATGTTAAAAAGCAACTTTAGAGATATTTGAATTTTGGGGTTGGGATACTTTATTTAAAAACGGGTACCTGTGGTTTTTTTTCTTCAATCGGGTACCTGATTCCCATACTACCCGTAAATGCACACCGCAAGTCCTGAATCAACTAAAGTCTGCTATAACCATTTATTTAGGCTAGGATTAGAATTGCGGTTAAAGGGAATATACAACATTTGCAAACATCGAAAAATAAAACTACCAATTTTTTACGAAATACCTTACTTGGATGTTGGTAAATGACAGTCTAAAGCATCCTGTAAAATTATGGCACCTGGTGTCAAGTCATTTTCAAGAAAATTGTATTTTTGTAAGCATTTCCAACGGTGGTCGGCCGACCACCGTTGGAAAAACCTAACTATTTCTCAACTACTGCTCCAAATTTACAACTTTTGTTCAGTCCAAATTTTGTTTGCTATTGGTTACATGTTCATGAACGGTTGCAGGCCAGCTAGACTGGTTCCCTTACTTTACAATTTTCCGACATCTATAAATTGATCCATTTTATCTTTAGTGGAGTCAGGGAACCAGACTACTTAAACATTTTTGTTTTCTTGTTTTTTCAAGCATTTACGAACACAAAACTTCAAACATGTCAGTGTAACAAAATTTGATCTATTATACTAACCCCTCAAATAGTTCATTTCTGAAAATTACAGCAAAAGCCAATGATGTACATTCCCTTTAATATCGCTCACTGTAAAACACAAGTTTGCATGCTACATGTAGGTGCCCTTTATATACATTAGCCATGGGGGGGGGGGGGGAAGTTGGCAACCGTTTACAAATTTGATCACTTTGGGACGCACTATGAATATTTTTACAGTTGATACAAGACAGAAACCAATAAATCAATATGGCGAGTGGCAATGAAAATAAACCGTTGCCAATAATTTGGTCCGGAAAATTTAATTAAAAATTGCATTACTTAGCCAGGATTAGTCGGGCGAACCTTCAGTTGTGTAGGTTTGATTCTCAGTGTATTAAAGATAATGTACAACATTTGCTTTTGCTGCAATTTTCACAAATAAATGGATATGGAGGATTACTATGTTATAGCAAATTTCATTAAAATGAATTGTTACACGTTTTGGGCTTGTAGATGCTGGAAAAACCAAGAAAACAAATCATGTTCTTGTAGTCTGGTTCCCTGACCCCACTAAAGATGAAACGGAGCAAATTATAGACTTTGGGAATTGTAAGGTCAGAGAATCAGACGAGCAGGCTTGTACCCCTTCACATGTGTGTAATCAATTGCAAAGAAAACGCGGAATAACTAATTATGAAAAATTAGGAGCAGTTTAAAAAAAAAAAAAAAAGCCAGTTTTCTCCAACGCTGGTCAGCTGACCAGAGTTGGAAAAATACCATTTCTCTTGAAAATGTCAGCACACCAGGAGCCACGATTTTACAGGATGCTTTAGACTGTCATTCCCTAACAATCCAGTAAGGTATTTATGATAATTTGATCATTTCGTTTTGAGATGTTGTATCTTCCCTTTAACTTGGAGCAAAAACAATTAAAGGGGAAATTTCCAAAAACAAATGTGAAGAAATGGTGTCTTTCAAAATCTTGAGAGTGTGAGGACAAGAAGGTCCCTGCCTCTCTGGCTGGCAATTTCAAAAAGGGCAGCCCAGCAGTCAAAATAAACCAAATGACTGTTTTTAACATTTGAGTGTTCCCTGCCTTCATAAAGCAGGATTGACTGGCTGTGATTGTTATGAAACCTGATTATACCGCTATGCTTTGACTGTAGGAGATTGGTAAGCCAGCTGTGCCTACCAGTCACCTGCTTTTGTCCGTTGATGGAATTTGACTGTCACAGTGCCTACAAGGAAATATAATCTGACTGTTGGTGACTAGCCTGGGTGAAAGGCATGGCAGGGGAACAGGATTGAATTTTTGACCGTCTGTGACTGATCAAACAAAAGGAAGGTTTAAATAATCAAGCTCAGTCGATGATAAGAAGTTGCATCTGACATGAATTAGAAAGTCTAAAAAACAATTCGCTGCTGCTAATTTTAGGACAGCGTGCCAAACTCGATCACAGAGAGCCATTTCCAGACACGCTAGTCCACAATTTCCCCAAGGATCAACCGGGCTCATAGCACTTAGCCGAACAAAGACTGACATTTCTAGCCGACCCAAGTCCCAACACAGGGAGATTAATTAATGCAATTTATTTAAGGAATACATTGTGTAGACACAAAACAAACTGTGTGACTCGGGGCATGGCCAAAAGCCATTTATTACAAAGGTCGGAGAAGAAAAAGGGGGGGGGGGGGAGATAAGTACGAACAGACCTTGGGCCAGATGTATCGAATGAACCACTCAAGCATGAACTAAATTAGCCTTTCGCACAACTTCACACCTGTGTCCCCACTTAACACAACCCTCGCTTGTTTACACACAACACAATTCATATGTAATTTGTATATAACTGTTTGCATTACTGGCCCAGGAACACAAAAACAGGGGAAAACTGCTACAGATAGAAATAACAGGGGGTGTTTACTTTGGATTTGCGGGCTGCCGGGTGCAAAACGGGCAATCAATGCCAAACCTGGGCGGCCATTGTCGGCCAGTGTTTGTTCAAGGAGGCAGTGCTGAGGAGGCGTTCGGAGATTGTGGGAAGCTGAACACTTGGTTGGTTAACAAGATTGTAACGAGAAAAAAAAAAGGTTGATGATTTAGGTCGCTTGGAAGTAATCTGTCGCGGCTGAAAAATCACTTTTTAATTATCTGGGGTTCTTTTTGTTCTGTGTTTGTTTTGAGGGGAACTTTAAGCAAAGCTCTTTAGACAAAGAATGCCCACACTTCAATTTTGAGTTTGAGAGACTTTGCCCAGAAATGGGTGGAAAATTCTGGAACTGACTT